ACCTAGGTGCCTTTCAATGGTTTAATGGATACAAAAAATTTTGTATACACAATGCAATATTACTCAGCCATAAGAAAGAATGAAATTTTGGCATTTGCTGGTAAATGGATGGAATGGAAGACTGTCATACTAAGTGAAATAAGCCAGTCCAAAAAATCAAAGACCTCTCTGATATGTGGATGTTAATTCACAACTAGGGAGGGTATGGAGGGGAAGAATAGAAGTCCATTGGATTAGACAAAGGGGAATGAAGGGAAGACCATAGAACGAATTGCACATAACTTTCCTATGCTCATACATGAATACATGACCAGTGTAACTCCACATAGTGTACAAACACAAGAATGGAATCCTAATTAAAATAAGTTATATTCCTTGAATGTATAATATGTCAAAATACACTTTACTGTCAGGTATAACTAAAAAAACAAATAAAAAATTAAAAAGCTGCTAATAACATAAAAAGAAAGAAAACTGGACATTATGTATCTCCAGACAAAACATGCAAGTGTGTGAGAAATAGTATTTCAAAATAAAATAAAACAAAACTGAATTTGATCAGGGCTCTGATTCTGTTTAAGAACAAAAATGTTGATTTTTTAAATGAAAAATAAAGAGGATAGAGTAACCCATTAGACAATATGTGTTAGACAATAAAGCATAAACTTTAGGGAAATTTAAGCCATACAATTCATTTGCATCATCAACAAATAAATTCTAAGAAAAACAAAAGATGGGTGAAGGAAGTGGGAAACAGAAGTTAGGAGATCTATTAATCAATTGCAATGTGTGAACTTATTTGGATCTTGATTGAAACAAATTGTAAAATACCCTATATAATATTTATGGGTCACTTTGAAACATGAGCATTAACAGAAGATTTCTGATGTTATGGAAATCTATAGTTAATTATTTTCAGGTTTAATAATTGTATTATATCATGTTTTTATAAAAGATGTCTTTATTTTTTTGGTAATAATTCTGAAATACTTGTGGGTGAAATGATATGAAGTCTGGGATTTGCTATGAGAAAATATGGACGTGGGTGAGGGTAGAGCTGAGACAAGATTGACCATGAGTTGATCATTGCTGACGCCTGGTGAAGGGTATGTGGTGGTGTATTATGCTATTTGATGAACATAATACAAAATTGAGACAAAATGGCAGAACTGTGATTCTAGCACAGATGGAATATTTTGCTAGTAGGACATAAGGACAGAGTCTTAGCTGAGTTTATAAAAAGCTACAGGCTTCCTGTTCAGTGGTCAGTTCAGACAGTTTCTGCTGGATTAAGATTCTCATATGAGGCCCAAGATAATGGATTCTTTTTTGACAGGCAGTAAAGAAAATGTGATTTAGGGTGGTGTTTCTACAAGCTGTAATTTAAAAGAAAAAAAGGGGAACACTGGAGCTTTTATTATTGCTATTTTCTTCAAAAAAGATTTACATTTTCATCTTATTCAGAGACAATTTACTCAATGTCAATCAGCATGAGCAGCCAAACTGAGCATCACAGCATTATTTTTGCTTCAGGGAAAAGAGAAAAAGAGTAGTGCCACTCAAATAAATTACAGCAGAAACTTATGAATGACAAGAAGCTCTGCTTTAGTTCCAGACTTCAGACATCTAAATATGCCCCAAGGAAGTTAACGTTAAAAACCAAAAATTTTGTCTTCTCAAAATGTATTAATTTATTTTGACAGGTATATTCCCAACAAAATTCCAAAGTATATAGAAATGATACCTGAGCTTTAATTTTTTTTTTTTTGGTAGAATGGTATGACATGGAACTTTACTGCTTTTTTCAATTTAATAATACAGAGTTGCAGAACCAGAAGATTGTTCTGTTGAGTGAATTGTGATGTTTCTCATTTTGGGCTATGGGAAGTCATCAGTTTCTATATAATTTCCTAAACGAATGCTTTTTTTTTTTTTTCTTTGGTGAGGGGTACTGGGGATTGAACTAAGTTATATCTCCAGTCCTTTTAATTTTTTGTTTTGAGACAGGGACTCACTCAGTTGCTGAGGGTTTTGCTAAAGTTGCTGTGGCTAGCCTCAAACTTGTGATCCTCCTGCCTCAGCCTCTTGAGTTGCTGGGATTACAGGTGTCCCATTTATATGCAAACACACACACAAAATAATTTGTCTTGATTACACCTTGCTTGTATCTTTAAAATGTATAATTTTTGAAAAATTAATGAATATTTTTTATAGTAGTTTTAGGTTCACAGCAAAATGAAGTTAAAGCACAGGGAGTTCCCATATCATCGCTCTCCCCTGCCTCTTACACAATCTCTCTCACAGTAGACATCACATATCACAGTGCCACATTTGTCACAATTGAATCTACACTGACACATCACAACCACCCAATGTCCCTCTTATCCCTGTCATTTGTTTCATTTACATAGAAGCAAATATTTGATAATTAGTTGTTATGTGTTTATAATTGAGTATATTGTTGCTATTATTATTTTGAACATGTTAGATAATTAAAAATGAGAAAAATAAAAGTTTTTATTTTAACTTCACTATTCATTCCCAATGCTCTTCCTTTACATAGGCCTAAGTTTCTATTTCATTTTCCTTCTCTCCCAAGAAGTTCATTTAATATTTTTGCAAAGCAAGCCTACTGGCCACACATTCAATAAAATCATAAAAGATTTAAATTCTCCTTCACTTTTACAGGATACTTTCACAAATTATAGAATTTTAGGTTGGGTTTTTTTCTCCCCTCAATACTTTATAAATTTCACATTATTCTCTTTTTTGCTTGCATAGTTTCTGAGGAGCAGTCAGATTTAATTCTCATCTTTGCTCCCTCTCTGGCTTCTTCCAAGAATTTTTCTTTATATTTTTATTTTCTCAAGTCTGAATCTGCTTTTCCTAGCTATAGTTGTTTTGGGGGAACTATTCTGGTTGGTGTTCTCTGGGCTTGCTGGATTGTGGTTTGGTAATGACATCGATTGGGGGAAATTCTTGGTTTCTGTTGCTTTAAATATTACTTGTGTTTCTTTCTTTCTTCTCCTTCTGATAATCCTGTTACAAGTATTTACACATTTATAGTTGTCCCATAGTTCTTGGCTATTCTATTCTGTTTCTTTAAGAAAAAAAGTTTTTTTTTTTTTCAGTTCTGAAAGTTTCTATGGTCACATCCTCAAGCTCAAAGATTGTCTACTCAGTGTATCATAAGCCCACTAAAGCATTCTTCTATTATGATATATACATATATCTATATATAGCATTTTATTTTCACTTTTTTTTCTTAGACTCTCCATCTGTCTTCTGCCTTTTAGTATGCCTTGTAATGTTTTTGTTGAAAGGTGGACATAATGTACTTGGAAAAAGGAATTGCAGGAAACAGGCCTCTAGTAAGATGGTGGAAAGTATGGGCAAAAGGGAGTGTCCACATCTTATGAGGGCGAAAGGGAGTGTCCACATCTTATGACTTGGCCTCAGTCTTTAAATGATCCATCCTGTGCCTCTGGACTGTGGCCCTCATCAGTAAGAGCTTCTCAGGTGTTTTTCTCTCCTCAGTGTGATAGAACAGCTGGAGAGTGCTGGAGCCGGGTAGTTCCCCTCCCTCTCAGGTAGGTTATGCTCAAATTAAACTCAAGCAGGTCAGGCTCTGGTGAGACTCTGTTAACAGAATGTTGTGGTGTATTTAAAAAAGGTTCCTGGCTGGGCGTAGTGGCGCATGCCTGTGATCCCAGCAGCTTGGAAGGCTGAGACAGGAGGATCATGAGCTCAAAGTCAGATTCAGTAATGGGGAGGCGCAAAGCAACTCAGTGAGACCCTATCTCTAAATAAATACCAAATAGAGCTACGGATGTGGCTCAATGGTTGAGTGAACCTGAGTTCAATTCCCAGTACCCACCCCCCCAAAAAAATGGAGGTTCTTTTCCTTCTCCTTCTGGTGAAAGCATGAGGAAAATTTTCTCTGATCCTCACTTGAGGACCTGTTAGAGTTTCAAGAGGAAGAAGCTATGAAAGTGTGTGAGCCTCCTGTGACCCGGGCCCTCCTGGAGTTTTACTCTCAGAGTTGTCTACGCTAAGCCTCCAGCAACTTCATCCATTGCAGTTCAGGATTTCTAAGCCCAGCACTGGATTGAGGGGAGGTTTCTGCTGGTCAGTTTCTCTTCCAGTAAGTTGTGATCTCTGTATCCTCTGTCTCTCTCTCCAATTTGGGGGCAGTGGTTTGCTCTGTGATCTCATGTCTTTGGTGGCTCTAAGGAGAATTTTGGTTTCTCAGTTTGTTCAGCTCTTTGCTTGTTAGGATGGCATGGCAACTTCTAAGCTTCTTACCTGCGGGGCTGGGAATTGGAAGTCTTCAAAAAGTACAGGTACTTAAACCATGTGTTCAACAGAGAGACTGTAAACGGATTTTCTTTGATCTCTCTTTTCTTTCTTTTAACCTCAGGAAGTCTAGGGAATCTTTTTTAAACAGTTAAATCTGGCTCATAAATGTTGAGGAAATATAAGCGTGTAGACAACAATCAGACACTCCTGTAGGGTCCTGGGATTTTCCAGGGTGCTCACCTTGGTGGTTGGTGCAGCACAGAGGAGGCCCCACATCTTAGAATGTATGGGTGAGGAATCCTAACAGGATAACCATGATATGTAGCTTTAGAAAAAATTCTACACATTCTTTCTCTGCAGTAAGAGCTAGTATTTATGATTTACAGTGCAGCAGGAACTGTGTAATATTTCACTTAGTCCTCAGAGTAATTCTGTAGATACTATTGCTATCCTTAATAATGAGGAAACATATGGAGAGATTAAGTGACTTCCCCAAATTATACAGCTGCATGTGGACTCTATGTTAGAAACTGACTATATGTTACCCCCTGCAAACGGGGTGATCATTTTAGTTAACATAGGCAGTAAGAAAACATTAAGGAAGACTCAAAAGACGTGACCAAGGGGTGGAAGGGATTTGGAACCAATAAAAGAGAAGGAAAAAGTGAGGGGGAGTAGGTGCTGCAGTCCTCTCTACTCACGGGGTTGATGTGCATTCCAGTGTGTGTACTGCACCGACTCAGGCTTCTGTCCTGTGGTCTTCCAAGTGTATTCTCCTGTGTCATTTTGGTCTTGCAGAGCGATCCAAAAATAACTGTCCTTTGTTTTCACCACACTGCTGATCAAACTGGTAATAAAAGCCTGTTCAAACCTTGAAAAGGGGAAAAGGAAATGGTTACATTACGTTTCCAGGCAATAAAAAAATCTCATTAAAACATAATGAAGTGCACAGAATGGCACCAGAGTAAGCATTTCTTGCTAATTCTTTAGAACACAGAGCAGGAAAATACACAAAGATACTGAACATTACTAATAAATGCCAAATATCAGTGTAATTTCCAGAAATACATGAGGAGAATTTCATTCTTATGGACTTTTATAACTGTGTGTTAGTCAGCCTTTTATCATTGTGACCAAAATAAACAGCCAGAATAACTTAGAGGAATAAAAGTTTATATTGGCTCATGGTTTCAGAGGTTCAGCCCATGGTTGACAGATACCATTGCTCTGGGCCTCCAGGGTGAGGCAGAACATCATGGCAGAGGCATGATGGAGGCATGATGGATAGAGTCTGTTCATGATGGCCAGGAAGCAGAGAGTGGTAAGGGGACACGGCTAATGAACCCTTCCAGCACCTCCGCCCCCTAGTGACCCACCTCCTCCAACCATGCCCCACCCTCCTAGAGTTACCACCCAGTTAGTTCATCAAAGGAGGATAGCCTGATTAGTTTACAGCCCTCATAATCTAATCATTTCACCTACTCCATTAACATAAGAGCTTTTGGGGAGAATCTCATATTCAAATCGTTAACAAACTGTTTCAAGGAGCAGAGGCTGACTTTGGTTTCAGAGTGTAGGTGGGAAAGTCCATGTAGCGAACCATACATTTCTTAGAGTAAGATGGGGCCTGTTTTGTGTTTAGGCCACATACCACACACCATGCCATAATGTGCAGGGAGGTAGGGGCTGGCAGGAGAGAGGAGGAAGAACAGTACATTTTTCTGAATGAGTGTTTAACACTACAGAGTTCACACACACCCACTCACCACACTTGCTTGGTGAGAAAAGAATCTGAGTAGTAACTGTGTGTCTCCCTAATCAGTTTGTTCACAGGCACATGGAGTTCTTGGCTTATTCAAATGTGCATTTTCACTGATGATAAATTCAAGCAGAAGGAGCTACTACAAGCCAGTACATCCACTAGCATTTTCCCCAAACAGCTGAATGAATTAGTGTTCAATGATTGGTGGCAATTCTTCCTTTCCAGCATGAATACATTCACACAGAAAACGCCAATGCATACCTGATAAGAATTTAAAGCTAAATTTTGAAACTGTCTTGAGAAATCTATTTTCAAAATATATAAAGTTAGAAGGAATTTCCAACAGTGGTGACTTCTGGCCAGCTCTGCTGAGTCAATGGGAAATGAAGTCCTGATGAAGTTACCCAGGAACACAATGAGAAAGCAAATTAGACTTTTAAAATACTATTTGGATTTTAAAAATTTCCATGCATTCTTAACTTGCTAAGGGAAGTAAAAGCAGTGGGATCATTGGAAAACAGAGGTGTCACAAAGGAAATAAGGGGTGGGTGGGTGGGGAAGAACAGAAAGAAGTAAAATTTGAAGTGACACCACTAGAAATGTTCAGTGACTAAAAACATCCGTGGTATGCATCTTTGCAGAGCTCATGGGTTTTCTTCATGCTTTAGTAAATATTTTCTGCAAATACTTTATTAACAGTCTAAATAGCACCCATTTGAAGTTAGACAAATTCTTTTGTAATTACACACAGGGGCAGAACCTTACATAAATGTGCTTCAGAAAGAAGGTATATCAAGCTGAATGCTGCCTGGATGCTGTCATAATTTTCCTTATACTTTGTTGGTTTGTGTGTCATAACATATGATCTGCTTTCCTGATCCCTCCGAGGCAGCATGGCATGGTTATTGTCCCCACATGATGCCTGAAATTGCTGTGTTAGAGGCCAGCAAGGCACTGTGCACCACGGGTGCGATGATCAGGCACTGCTTGTTGTGCCGGTGTTTAGTCTGGGGGTGTTGCTGGTTTTTCCATTACCTTATACTATGGCATTTATCAGATAATGCAGGGAAATGACCTTGTCTGTGAACTTGGCCTTGGGTATCATTATTCATGACAACATATTGCTTGTGTCCCCTGTTGGTTGTAGATTTATTTAGTCCCCTTTGATTTGTTATTTTATTTCTATTTATCATTGCTTGAAACAATAGAAACCTTCGGCTTTTTGAACTGGCAAGTGTATTTTTGAAGTAGTGTATATAATACTCATACATTAAATCCTAAAGCCTTCAAGTCAAAACAAGACTCTGGTTTTCTTGATCCAGTTTTAAAAGGTAAAGAAATGTGACAAATGTGTCTTTCTTCTAAACAATAAAAAAAAATCTAAAAAAATTTCTTTTTTTCTAAACAATATGAAGATATTAAATCTGGATAATAGTGTCTAATGTCTCGAGTATCAGTTTCCAGCCAGTAAAGAAGCAAGAGGTCATTTTATATTCTTTACCACTCACTAAAAAAGAACTCTGCCTTACAGTAATATAGAAGATGATCTTTCAGAGGCTTTTCTAACCCTGTGTTTTAGAATTATTCATAAGAGAACATTCCAGAGTTTTGTATTATTTTGTCTTTTTGTCTGATTTGCTGAGCTTGTTTAATTCAAATGTTGTTGGGATTTAAGGAAACAAAAATAACCAAATATAATGTACATTCTTCCATATTATTATTTGAACCAGGATAGCATGCTATCTCTAGGAACTGAATAAAGTAAAATCTATTTGTCATCTTAAAAAAAAAAAGTAGTAAAATATTTTGCTTATGTTCACCTACTTACAAAATCAAATATTCTAGGAGAATAATTCTTGCAATCAGAAAGAAATTAACTTTTCCAATTAATGCCTTAGAAAAAGTTAAGAAATCACTTGTGTTTTCAATGTAAACAAGAAAAATACATATTGAAGTTCTATTATGTTTGCAAAAAAATTATTCATGGTGCTAAACATTACATTTTAATTTAAAAATGCAATTTAAAGATAGCAACATATTTTTAATATGCATTAATAATTTTTTTTTCATTTCAGAATAAGCATTTTGCACTTTAAAAGTACATACTTTAAGAGGAGGTACTTTTTACTTAATATATAAGTGAACATTATGTTTCTTCATCAGTTTAGCAGTGATGGCTAACTGGAAAAAATTTGGCATGTAATTGGAAAAAAGGTTTCTTGTCTACAAACAACACAGCACGTAGCAGACAGCAGCACTATAATGATTGTGTTTGTATTATCCAAAATGAATTAAAAACAAAAGTAACACATAGAAAGTATAGCTTTACTTGTTAGCAAATGAAATTTAAAAAATAGTGGTTGTGTGTGTGTGTGTGTGTGTGTGAGAAGTTGAAGATTTCACTGGAAAGACTTGGTTTTGAACTAAGTAACTACAATTTGCTCTCTCCCAATTACACAATTATCAACATTTTCTATGCCACTTGAAATAACAGACTTTGTTGTTGAAAAATATAAAAATGATTAGCTTCTTTCTCCTTCTTGTAAATGAAGAATGGAAATAGACTATCAATAGTTTTAAGATGGAGACACGCATCATGATCATTGTTGTCACAAGTTTCTGGTGGCCTCCTGTAATAACCAGGAATGTTAAATTTTCGAAAATTGTTTCTTGCAAACTATTAGAAAACAAATGTAGACTTAATATAGACAGAAGAAATAAACCTAGAAGAACAAATTCCAAGCTGTTAGTGGTGGTTCCTTTTGGGGAAGAGAAGAGAATAGACAGAAGGTGAAGGAGCACTGTCACTTTTTAGTCTATATTCTTGGTGTTTAATTTTTACTACTGAGAGTTTCTTTATTGTATTACTTTAAAGTGGATAACTAAAACGTGCCTTTAAAAAGATAGCTTCTTTTTTGTACACACGGAAAAACTATTAGAACTAATAAATGAAGTCAGCAAAGTTACAGCATACAAAATCAACACACAAAAGTGAGCTGTGTTCTATAACAATGGATAGTCCAAAAAAGGAAATTAGGAAAACAATTGCATTTAGGATAGCACCTGACATAATGACATACTTAAGAATAAAGTCAGCAGAAGAGGAGAACGTCTTGTACACTGAGAATTGCAAAATGCTGATGAAAGAAATTAAAAACACAAATAAACAGAAAGACATTCCCATGTTCATGGCTTGGAAGGATTATTATTATTACTATGTCCATATTATCTCAAATGATCTATGTATTCAAAATAATCCCTATCAAAATCCCAATGATTATATATATTATATTAATATATATCCTACATACATATATATAATATTTCTTTTCAGAAATAGAAGTAATCCTAAATTTCATATGGAATTTCAAGGGACCTTGAATAGTTGAAAGAATAAAAAAGAGCAAAAAGTTGGAGGTCTCACACTTTTTGATTTCAAAACTTATTACAATTAGAATCCAAATAAAGTCTATGCTATATTTTAAAAAACATACTACAAAGTGCAGTAATCAAAACTGTGGTACTGACACAAAGACTGACACAAAGACTGACATATAGATCAATGGAACAACAGAAAGCCCAGAGAAAACTCTTGCATATATAGTCACATGATTTTCAACAAGGGTTCAAGACCATTCATGGAGAAGTTCAGTCTTTTCAATAAATGGTGTTGGGGAAACTGGATGTACACTTGCAAAAGAATGAATTGGATTCCTATACCATTAAAAAAAAAAAAAGAACTCAAAGTTAATTAAAAACTTAAACATAAAACCAAAATTTTAAAACTCTTAGAAGAAAATGTAGGGAAAAGTTTTGTGATATTGTATATTGTTGTGACACATGACTAAACCAATCAGGGTCACTCCAGGTGAACTGGGCTGGCACGAAATAATCACACAGAGACAGAGAGATACCTTTTCTTTGGGTTCTTTGATGTCTCCTCTGACCCAGATTTCACAAAAGAGGCAAGTCAGGCATGAAAGAGAATGAGCATGCCTGGAACCCTATTTTATTGGGGAGAAGCCGTCCAAAGGAGGCAAGGGGTAGGATTACAAAGGGACAGGTGAGTGTAACTCAACCCCATTGGGTAATGCCCACTCCTGGAGCCCCGCCTCATTACCCAAGCGGAGGTAAAGCCCAAGTTACTGCGGGGCACAACAATGTTCAGTATCTCTTGCTTAGGACTTAAGGGTGTGTATTTCCAGAGGGGTTCCCGACAGTATATGGCAATTATATCTAGGAAATGACATCAAAAGTGTAGAAAACAAAATAAGATATGGATAAATTTGGCTTCATCAAAATGAAAAACTTTTGTGCATTAAAAGCACTATAGAGTGAGAAGGCAACCCATAGAATGGGAGAAAATATTTTCAAATATATATCTGATATAGGATTAATATACAGATATATAAATGACAAGAAAAACAATAATTTTGCCAATTAAGAAATTAGCAAAATATTTGAATAGAAATGTCTCTAAATAAGATATATGGATAGCCAATATTGAAATGATGCTCATTCAGGGAAATGCAATCAAAGCCTCCATGAAATACCATGTCATATCTAGTAGCATGGCTATTATCAAAATGCAACAAAACAACCAGAGAATAACAAATTGGCCAGAGTGTGGTGACTTTGGAACCCTGTGCACTACTGGTGGGAGTGTAAAATGGTGCTGCCACAATGGAAAACAGTATGGCATTTCCTCAAAAAATTAAAAATAGAATTATCATATGACCTGGCAATTTTACTTCTGAGTATATACTCAAAGAATTCAAAGCAGGGACTTGAATTTGTATATTCATGTTCAAGGTAGCATTATTTATAATTGTCAAAAGGTGAAAGCAACCCAAATAATTATTGATGGACAAATGGGTCAACAAAATGTGGTATATACATATCAGGCTATCTTACCCTTAAAAACAAAAGAAATTCTGATGTTTGCTGCAACATGTATAAACCATGATGGCATTCTTCTAAGCAAAATGAGCCAGAGTCAAAAGGAAAAAATTTCACTTACATGAGGAACCTAGAGTGGTCAAACTTACTGCGACAGAAAATAGAACAGTAATTGTCAGGAGTTGGTGGTAAGGGGAAAATGGGAGTTTTTTTTAAATGAGTACAGAGTTTCAATATGAGAAGATGAAAAACCTCTGGAGATGGAGATGGTGGGAGCTGTACCACAATGTGAATGCACTTAACGCCATTGAATGATACACTTAAAATGGTTTATATGGTAAATATAAAACACACACAAAAGTTAACTGGTAGGGTGTTTTGGATAAGGCAGTTGCAGGAAAATGGCAAAACTTTAAAAATACTTGAGTATAATGCATATTTAAACAGAAAGAAGTGAGACATTGCAGGATTTTTCTCTCTGGGCAAGCTTCACAAAATCACATATCATTTGTATTATTTTTATTGCTAAATATTCCATAACTGATTGATCAAGATTTCAACATATAAGCACCTAGACAATTATCTATGGTAACTTTGGAATTGGAGTTTTGCATTCCTGCTCTGATTAGCAGCAAAGTCACTGGGCCTGAAAAGGTTTTGTAATAGTACACCAGTAAATAAAAATCTGTTACTTAGTAATAAGGGTCTGTTTTTCTGACTTTCTCTATTCCACAAAGTGTTAAAAAGTCCTAGAGCAAGAGTGGTTGCTGGATAACAAAAGAAATAAGTAATTTGTAGCAGGTGGTTCTAATTGTGCCCATCAAACCTGTCACTCAATTGTGCAGAAGAGTGGAAAATCAATTAGCAACTACAAGCCTGGGTGCTGAAGAGTGACAGCAGTGTCTTAACTCAAACAGGAAATCAGTAATGGAAGAAAATGATTACCAAGGCTAGTGGATGCCCCTGGGTCTGAGGAGGCTTTCCATCTACCGTCCAGCCTTCTCAGACAGAAGATACTGCTGGAGAACATTCCAACATGTGTGTTACTCAAAGAGCGGTTTATTGCCTCATGGGGTCTAAATGGATAAAGACCAAGAGTCCAGCGTTCTTCCTTTTTCCAACATCCTGCTTTGGATGTGGTCTTGTTTGCCAGGTAGTGTACTTGTTGTTAACTGACCTGGAAGGGTTACATTTGCTCAGAGGTGGTCCTGCAGGCATGGTTAGCAACTGGGCTGGTGGTCAGTACAAGGTAACTTGGACAGGCCTAGGTAGCCGAAATAGGGATTAAAACCAAATTTACCTCTGCCATAATTTTGCTTCAGAGTTGGAACACACATGAGTGTGGGCTACTGAATGTAGTTAAGCAAAGAAAAAAATCATGTTTACAACATACACTTGTATCCAGTTTTGGGGAAACAAAACAGATTTTTCCCCCACTTTTCATCATTTGCATGAGGTCCCCAAAGCATTGGTAGAATATGAAGCATCTGAACCCTAAGGCTGATTTCTGCCCTAGCTAGGGTCATTTTGGCACTGTGAACAATCTATAATGTGACTTTGAGTTCATCACTTTGTCCTGTTACTCCATCTTCTTCATTTGTTCCACATGTCTGTGTTCTCTTTCGTCAGCTGCTGTATTGCAAAAGGCACTGGACAATTATACCATTTATCTATCGATCGATCAGTCCATCGATCTACCTACCTACCTAATATCTTGTCGTTGTTTAATAGGGTGCATTATATTGGCAATCAATAAATACTTTTTAAATAAACTCTTGACTATTAATTTTTTGCATGGTCAGATAACATATAAAAAGTAATTAACAGCATGCCTGGTTTGTGACAGGACCTCAATGAACATTAAGCAAACAACAATTTAAAAAAGAAAAGGAAGAATGAGACATAAAAATAGATGAAACAATTATACTTATTTTCTTCAGTACAGAACAATTTAATTATAATGAACAGAGGACCCTGGTTTCATTGGTCAATCTCCTTTTATGTCCAGTGTTGACTTGCTGACTCGGGACTTCTGATCCAAGGTGCTTGTGGAAGCTGCCTAGAAAGTTGGGGGGATAAAGGCTTCCTTCTGCCTGGTATCTATACCTGGGATGGGGAAAGGCAGAACTAAAACTAATGCTGAGATACATCAAAGGTAGCATTATACCCTAAAGAAGGTCATTTAGTCTGTGACATGATGTCAACCCATTCCCCAGTGTATTAATCCATTTCTCTGCACACATGCATTCACATTCTTGTGCATTTTTTGTAGTATATACTGGAAAAGATTCCAGGACAGATGGAGGGAGTGAGGAAAGAAAGAGGGTGAGAGAAGAGAAAAACACTGGTGACTAAGAATGTTGACTTCCAAATCAAGGGAGAACAGAGAAAGCATACAAGGTCTCTCTCCAAAGTAGACAGATGCATGAAGAGTCTCTAGACAAAACCAAAGCACCAATTCTCCTATTTCCTGGTAGTCAGTGGATTTTTTTTTTCATACAGATCTCTCACTTCATTGCTCAGATTGGTCTTGTTCAAGTAATCTTACAGCCTCAATCTCCCAAGTAGCTGGGATTACAGGTATGTACCACCACATGCAGTTTTCAGTGGATATTTTCAAAGGTAATGGCCTTGGCACAAAAGCAAGAGACTTGTTTTGCAGGTGTCTTTCCTGTGGAACCACTGAAGAGTTCTATCCTGGTGCTCTGTTTTAGGCATGGAGAAACTGGCCTTCCAGCCCTCTCTGTCCTTGACATTGATTGTGACAGGAGGTCACCTTTGTTATGGCACTTTTTATCCCCAGTAGCATGCTGCAAATTATATGAAGAGTAAAAAGGCACAACCCTCTGCAGGATCAGGAAGACATCTGTGCACAAAGAAGTCTAAGTCTAAACAAAATAGACCTAAGCAGCAATGGTGAGGTATTTGAATACCCTCCACATTTTCACTACACTTCCTTTTCTGCTAAAGAAAGACCCCATGCAGTTTACACATATTGTGTTTAAAAAATACTTGGTAAATATTTGTTTTCCACGACAAGCAGTTAGAAGATAAAAGCCTAAATACAACAGAATATATTAGCAAAGCTAGTAATTAATAAATCTTTGTGGAAAGTACAAGTCATCTTAAATTTTACTATTTGTCATTCAAAAATCAATTTCAAAATAACATCAGAAGATTTAAATTCACCTCCATAAATGCTTTAGGTAATTGAATACCCTACTCTACAGCACACTTTACATTTTAAAAAGCTCTGATTATGGTTAGATTTTATCATCCCAAGAGCCCTCACATTGAAGAATAGTAATGTTTCTGCTAGAAAATTTTAATTTTACCTGTTTGTAATGGTCACAAGTGCAGGAGGACAGTAGTAACCGCTGGAAGCCTGGTCAAAGGTGCGAAGGACTGTATCAATTTTGTAACAGAATCTACCATGTCTCTCCCATCCCTTAAACAAGAAAAGGAGAAATTAACAATGTGTTTTATTTTAATTAAATACCCATAGGTCTTTTTTTTTTTGCATCTTCTCATATATATAACCTTTTTCTCGGACTCACTCAAATCTCCTTGAATTTTGTCTATCTTTACATTTCTCCTATCTGGTGGTTCCAATAGCTATAGCCACTTTGACACTTTTAAAATTATCTGAACAAACTAGAAATTTTAATTAACTTAAAAATGTAAAAACTTTGACACAAATGAAAATAAAGGGGGAAAATATAGCAAACAAAAGAACCCCAACTCTGGATCCAACCACAGTGTGACTTTATCTATTAATGTTGAATGAATTTCAATAAGTATAATGTCTCCACATCTAGTTTTCTCATCTGTAAAATGGTATAGTGTAATATTCATCGGGCTATTGTGAATCAAAAAGAATCAATGCAGGCAGAGATCTTAGAGTAGAGCCAGGAAATCAGTAAGAGCAAAGAAGAAAAGTGTCTAGATAATATTGGAGTCTTTTTTTTCAACTTTCTTTCATATTGATTGTTTTATGTTATCTCTTTGAGCTTAGGGACTTAAATAAAATCACCAACCAGTGGACCAGCTGAGCCTGGAACCCAATTCTGGTGCAATTGAGGATGGTCTTAGTTTGATATGATACTTCCAAATAAAGAATGGCCAAAAAATATATACACATATATATGACAAAGATTATATTGCTAAATTAACTGTCTGGCCTTTTAGAGAGGAAGTAAGCGAATTTTGACACTCAGACAAAAAAGACAAATATGTTGCTCAAAGCTTAGCCCTAGGAGCAAGTTAGGGTCACTCTGTTCTTTAAAATCACACGATACAGGAGTCATACATTCATTATATTTAAACTGAATTATTTTAGGTCTTTTTGTTTCAGTATTATTAAACCACATTGCTTAAATGTGCCTTTTTTTTTCTTTTTACTTATTCACCAGTTTTAAAATACCTTTCACTCTGTGCCATGCCAATGCTTACCTGCTTTTGATGAGACATAAAATGCTTTCTAGAATATTTCTTGGAAAGGTCTCAGTCTTGTCAATTAAAGAAAACCTTAATTTAGAAATCTGATATTTTGGTTCAAAACATTTCATGAAATGATGTGGTTCACGTGGCACCCACATCCAGCCATTCAGGGTCTGCTCTGAACTCACTCCCCTCTACCTCACTCCTGATCCTCTCTGTGTAATTGACAGCTCCAGAGAGACCCCTGTGAGCACTCTGTGGGCCAGGGACAGGGTGGTTAGACTGCTTTTGTTCCTGGAAGGACAGGTGGAGGGAGGCTGACAATTTGACCTTTCTAACCAACTATTCCTTCTTTATTAGCAGTTTTTGGATCATGGGCAGCTTAGCAAAACAAAAATCCAAGAACTGAACAGCCTCAAGAAAAGGGAGGGTAAAAAGAAGTGGCTGAGTAGTAACCAGGAGAACAAAGCCTCTGCACTGCAAGCCCTTGTCCACATAATGGAAGAGTGGAGAGTGACAGGAGAGTCACCCTTTGTATACTCTAGCTGCCACTTCGTTTCTAAATGAAAGGATGAGGGTAATAATGTTGAAGCATTTGCTTATATTGTCCAATCCCCAAAAGGTGACTCAGAGGAAAAAATAAATCACTTTGTTTTTTTGGCTTTGAATAAGACTGATTTTGTAAATTCATGTTGCAAGGGGACACTATTTAGAGAGTTCAATTAAAACAAATGGCTAAAAGAAAGGAATCGTTGGAAACCATACTCAGAGGCTGATGTAAAACAAAAACTTATCAGGATATTTTTCATACAACAAAAGAACTAGCCCTAAACTCAGAATCTTGAAATACTGGTAATTCTAGACAGAAAAGGGAAGCAGTAAAGTTCACATAGAGCATTCTGCTTTTTTGTATAAGAAGTTGATTGCTCATTCAGCAAAAAATAAAACATGTGGAGTTGCCTTGAAAGCCACATAAGATAGAGATTAGGTCAGTGGTCAGCTATAACTAATTCAGGAACTGGAGTCCTTGGATAAACTGTTTGGTGACATGTCAGCTATGGCACATATATTGTCCATCTGGAGTTTGAAGATGTAGTTTATATAAGCATTCATTAACAAATGGAATACAGTTTTTGCAGAGATGGATCACTGTTTAGTTTGAACATAAATAACTGGATTAAAGAAGAAAAGATTTAAAGTGGAGTTACATAAAAATCAGTCTGGGAATTTTTTTAAAAATATTTATTTAGTTGTAGATGAACTTACAGTATCTTTATTTATTTTTATGTGGTGCTGAGGATCGAATCCAGTACCTCACACATTCGAGGCAAGCACTTTACCACTGAGCTACAGCCCCAGCCCCTGGAAAATTTTTGAGAATAACACGTAGCATGAAAATTTCCGATGGAAAAGAGGGAGGGGGCAGGGGGAAGGAGAGAGAACATGGGTCCATATGCTGAGGACACTGAGAGGTCGAGTTTTAAATGCAATTTTATCTCAGGGCAGTAAATAGTCAAGACATTTTAAAGAGATAATTTTCTACCTTTTAGGTTTAAACCTAAAATATTACATATTTTTATTTAAACTATCTAAAATACTTTGTTATTATATTAAAGTATCTTTATTATTGCATTTCTAAATAAAGAATATATCACAAGCATGCTCTCCTCTCCATTATTTTATTCTGTTCCAATATTTAAGTCTCAGAAGGGGAAGAAGAAGGCAAGATGCTGGGTGCCGAAGTTCACGGTGACTCCAAGGAACGCATTCGCTTTCTCTCTGACATCCCATTTGAGAATTATGAAAACCATGTGTGAGAGGAGGCATCGTGCCACAGCCATTGTTTGTACAGATGGCATAACAGGATCATGTACATTTTTTATCTCAAGGAAAAAAAGAGTAGTCTTGGGTCAAAGAGCACAGCAAGACAACGATCTCTCTCAGGGTTGTAAATCCTTCAGGTGCCTCTAGCTGGGAATTGTTTGGTTTGTAAAAAGTAGCCCACACTCAGGAAAGAGAGAGAGAGAGAGAGAAAGAGAGAGAGGGGGTGGGAAGGAGAGGAGGAATGGAGAGCCAAGAGAGGGAAGGGAAAGGAAAGGTAGGGAGGGCAGAGATTTACTATAAATTGAGGGCAGATATATTATTCTACCTATGTAGACCCTGTACCTAAATTGCAGTGTTACTCATACTTACCTCTTGACATCCTGATTCAGCATCAGGAAGAAAATGGCCTGCTTTTTTACAGATGTAAAAATAGGTTTCTTCGCAATTTTTGACTTTCCAATATCCCTCCTATGGGAGAAAATGTTATGATGAATGAATACACTCTGTGCTCATGCTTGTGGGCAATACCCCTTATTATGACCCAATATCTGATTAATAGCAAGTGTTTCCAGTGGGGCCATGTTTCAGGACCCTGCCTAGGAAAGGGTCAGCAGCCCCTCCAGGGATGGGAAGCCCCACTCTCTCTCCAGCATGCCACAGTTTTGATGCCCGAAATTTAGAAACAGGTTCGGAGGGAGGATACAACTGATATTTCTTGGTTGCTGCTGTGTACTAGACCTAATGTTGGGTGATTTTCATGAATTTCAATGTTTCTATCAGGTAGCAATTATTCTAATTTGAAGATTAGGCTTGATGCTTTGCACAAAGTTCTGTAGTCAGTAAAAAAAAATTAGAGCTAGGATTGATATCTGGGTCAGTCTGGCTTTGCGTTAAGCTGCTCTCAAATTTTCTTATAAAAAGATGGGATGGAATAAAGGTTCAAAAGCATCAGTGTATAACAGAATCACCTGGAGGGACTCCTGAAACACTGATGGCTGTAGCCCTTGATCAGATATTTCATTCAGTGGGTCTGGTGGGACCTGAGGATTTGTAATTGTAAAAGGCTTCAGGTGATGGTGATGTTGCCCGTCTAAGGTCATGTCTTAAGAACCACGTGGCTCTGATTGATTGAGAGTGCCGCTTTCTCTTCCCAACCACTTCTCAGTGTTAAATCAAAGGCTCGGCTGCTTTTATGTATAAACTTGATGCTGGGGAAATACCTGGAAGCCACTGTGAATCATCCTAGATAACATTCACATGGTTGAAATTCATGTTCAACCCCCAAAGTCCTTCTCCATCACTAAGTTTTCAGAGCATCACTCAGCTCTTTATATAACAGGCTGTCTTCTCCCAGCCCTACCAACGGCTGTTCTCAGATTCCTCATTAATAATAATATAATATCTGCCAGCAGATTAAAATTTTAATTTCCCAAATGATTTTTTATTTTAATTCAAGTCAGAACTTTAGATTAAAACCACACAATTCAAATTTCAGTTGGTATTTCAGGTATACGGAATTTTAGGGGAATATGGAGCCCTTCCGTGACCTTCAGAAGCATACTCTGTCAAGGGCTGACATTTTCACCTGTAAGAGCAGCACTGTCCCTCCCCATGGAATCTTCCAGCAAACCATCCAATTATAGAATAGTCAGGCATACCAGAGTTGCTTAATGACTGTTGGATAGATAGATAGATGAATGAGTAGTTTCCTAGGCTTTCACATTTAAATTTAGGGGTTAATCATGATTAGGTAACTTGTTACATATAACGAGTATTTCATTTTAAGGCTTACTTGATGAAAATAAGTGTTAATTTTTATATACCTACTACTTAAGGAAATAAGCGGTTACAAAGGGGGCTACAGAATATCCCACTTAGAGGAGAAAACCTACCTCACTCTTTTAAAATAATACTATCTATCTAAATGTTGGCTCCTGTTCTATAAAAAAGCTAAGTGAAATAAACTTGTCAGTCAATAGGAAATGAAGGTCATCTTAATTATATCAAAACCAATGAGTCAATAATGTTTCTACTATAGGAGCATGAATGGTGGTGGATTTCAGCAGAGTCAGACCCATGACAAAGATTTAGGAGGTCACTGTTTCTCCCTCCCCCAAAGGAACTCAGAGGCACTACATTAACATGTATAATTGTGACTGCATATGTTATGCAGGCCTTAAGACACACAACAATAAAGGTGTCACAGAAGTAAGTGTCTTGGTCTCTGCTGTGGCCCAAGTCCCTGGCCTAGGAGTTCCTTGACATAGGTCCAGCAACATGAGCATTGAAAAAAATGAATCAACTTACAGATTGCTCTGATGAGACACATAGCTGGCTTCTATTTGGAAAAATTCGGGGCTCAAGTGTGTGCCAATTAGTAAAGATGACTGAGGAGCCATTAGACCATTCAAAGAAAACTGGAATTTTATTGCTGCTCAAACCAATCCATGTTTCGGATGCATTTTCTGTAAGAGACAATTGTAAATTACTTAAGAGATTCTATTATTTGCAAAGGTGATAATGCACTGAAGTTATTACCAAAACATACTACTTTACATGTGATTGCTTCATGTGAAGAAACCTGTTTAAGCTTCATATAAATACCTGTCTAAACTTTCCCCTCCCACAATATTCAGATCTGCTTCAAGATCTTTCAAGTGAGGCAAAGGGTGAGCTAAAGCCATCACAATGACAAAACCAAAGCATGTCAGACTCCTTGGACTCTAGTTCCTATTATAATGAGTAAAATAGACCTGAAAATCTGGTTTTGCTTCTGCCTAGAGAAAGGGGAAAAACAATGGGAATGTTGATTGGATTATGAAAAGGGCACATTTAAGAGAAAAAGCACTTGTAATGATATCTACCTTTAATATTTTTCTCTTTTTCATCCCCCTACCCTACATAAAGGAGAAAAGGAACAAAAGCTTTTAAATGAATTAAATTGGCCAAATTATATTGTTATATCATGTGCACATATGAGTATGTAAAATGGATCCCACTATTATGTATAATTATAACTCACCAATAAGAAATATGAAAAAAAAATGGGAGCAATGGGTTTCTGGAAAAGTAACAAAGCGTGACAGCCTAGATAGGGTAAAGAGACCCCAGGTGGTTAAGAAGTGTCTAAGTGTCCTTGTGGACACAGAGGCAGCCTTAGGATTCTTTTAATCCCAAATGGAAAGGATTAGGGGAAATGACAGGAAGATTTGTGTTTTCATGCCAAAGCAAAACCTAACATTCAAAAGGTCATCAAAGCAGAGTTCTGGAGGTTTCTGGGTTTGTTTTCACTTTTAAAAACTGAAAACTGAAATGAATGATTTCAATGTTTTCCAGCAGGATTCCTGTGAACTATAGGACAGGGAGTAGCAGACTGGATCTGAAGGGCTGAAGGTAGTAGAGGCTGAAAGCCCAGAACCTGCACATGACAGATTGCCTGAAAATCACCATGCCAAATAAGTTACGCCTTTTTCACTGCCTGAAGTTATTTCATTTAATTATTTGCTTAAGGAATTCCCTTTACATGACCAGCACACAACTACTACATGATGACCATAAAACTAAATCATAGGTTTAGATTTTGCATTAGAAGTTTCAGAAAGTGATATTACCCCTTAAAACAATTAAAAGCCATCTAATCATATTTGGTGTATGTGGAGATGTTACAAAGTTTCTGAACATGCATTTAGTAAAAATCCAATGAATTTGCATTCCTGAATTTATTCCTTTAAATAAATGTGCCCCAAACACTTTTAAATAGCTTAAATTTCTTTTCAACTCCACTAATAAAACATTACTGCAGTCTGGGGTTGTGGCTCAGTGGTAGAGTGCTCACCTTGCACGTGTGAGACCCTGGGTTTGATCCTCAGCACCACATAACAATAAATAAATAAATAAAATAAAGGTATTGTGCCCAACTACAACTAACAAAATATTTTTTAAAAAGTTACTGCATCATGTTTCATTCTTCTTAAACCTAAGGCAAAGATACTCACCATCTCTAAGGAGGTTTACAAGGAACTCCACCTCTGCTAATGAAGCTATGTCTATTAATGTGCTGTTATCAGACTGGCAAGAATGCAAAGCCTCATTCCAGGTCTTTTCTTCTTTCTGAAGTTTGTAGCAATTACGATTGTAGGGATTCCAGCCAGGCTCACAATGGGTAGCGTGATATTTCCAAGCATCTTTATCTTTTTTCAACAAAAAGCAATGTAATTTTCCACAATTATTTTAACATGACTTATTACTCTTTATTTAAATTGCCATCAATATGATTACTTTGAAAATGTGAAAATCAAGATAAATGCAATGACATATATATCGTGAAATTTTAGATCCTCAGAATTGAGAAGGGTCTAGTCTCTGATCTAGATCTAAGGTCTAATGAATCTCAGCTCCTTATTTTCCAGATGAGAAATCTAAGGCACAAAGCAGTAGGAGACTTTACAAAAATCATGTACAACAAAAGCTGAAAGTCAGGGCTAGTTAACAGGGTTAGGTATGATTTCACTGCTATCTGGGGAAGAAAACATTCTTTTAAAATTGCTTCTTGGACTCTGACAACAATTAGAATCATAGTCCAAGAATGTAGAACATTTAGACATCATCCGGTGGTTTTCAAGCTAGGAAATGAAGCCACACAGAACCCTTTTAAAATATGGAGTTTTAAACCTCAGTCTAAAGATACAATAAAAAGGTGAAAGAGGAACTTTTTCTGATGGAAGCAATAGCAGAGCCAAGCAAGAACCTGTTGTAGCAGAGCAAGATGGTGGTTGAGGGCTGGGATGCAGCTCAGGGGTAGAACGCTTGCCTGACATGTGGGAGGTGATGGATCTGCTCCTCAGTATGTTTGCTCTTGTGTGCTTGCAGTGCACAGCCCCCTCACCCTCAAGATGGAGATGAGTAAGATCCTCCAGTGACGTCTCCCCACAGAACACCAAGCTGAACAGCTATTCATGTACCAAACTACCTTCACAAGAGCCAAGGAAATCAGATGAGAGACTCTAGGCCCTGCTTTTAGTACAAAATGAAAGGGCATACTGAAGAAGGCAGGAAAGAAAGTGTCACCTCTCCTCCAACTCTAAGCAGTCGGGCACATAAAGAGATGCCTCCCCCTTGGGGGAAGTAGAGAGCACCATGTTCGAGGTCTTCAACTTGAAACCAAATACCAGGCCCACCATGGTGAAATCAGTGACCATGGCCCCTATTGCCAGAATTGTTAGGCTGACTGTCTCCACTAAGTTTCCTCCAATCTCCAGCAGCAGAGCAGGGAGCAGGACTCCCTTCTTGGGGAACAGGGCATGAAAGCTAGCACAGGGCTTTGTGTTGGAGCCCCAGTGCTAGGCCCATTGCAGTGAGACAGACCTAGAACCTCTTAGAAACTGAAGACCTCATTCACAGGCCACAACTCCTAGATAGAGCCTCTGTGTCAGCCCCAGCATCAGGTGGAGATCGGTTGAGTTTTTGCTTGCATCATCTCTGGCCGTAGAAAGAAACTGGGGTACACCTACCCTCTTCCTGAGACTGTACAGGCCCCTGCAGCTATGAGACTCAAGTACAACCTAGTTTAATTCAGCCTTGGTGTCCTCTACCACCAGTCTCCAACAGCAGCTGTTTTCTTTTCTTTTTTGGGGGTGGGGTGAGGTAGGTGGATACTGGGAATTGAATTCAGGGCCACTCAACCACTGAGCCACATCCCCAGCCCTATTTTGTATTTTATTTAGAGACAGGATCTCAGTGAGTTGCTTAGTGCCTCGCTTTTGCTGAGGCTGGCTTTGAACTTGGAAACTGTTTCAGTCTCCCGAGCCACTGGAATTACAGGTGTGTGCCACCTAACTCGGCTAGCCAGTTATTTTCTGAGGGCAGTGCTCTCAGATGGTGTCCTAGACTGCTCATGAACTAGAAAGACCTACATCCCAGGGGCACAGACTCATGTTTTGGCCTGTTTCTCTGCCATCTGTGGTATGGGCCTTGGAATACCCTTGAGACTGTGCAGGCCTTTGCAGCTGTGAGACTCAGGTGTTACAGCTTAGTGACAGTCTTAGTGGCCAAGGGACTACCTTCACAACACTACCTCAACCTTGGGCAGTATAATGTGCTGCAAAATGCCATTCACCATGGACAGGAGAGGGTGTAAGTACAAGACTTTGCCCTAGACCTCAGTGCTAATTTGGTGAACCTTAACACCAGGCAGATCCTGGTGGGTTCATCCCCAGGCCTGCCTGCAGAGGAAGCCTTTGGAACAGCTCCAGTGCCAGGGGAAGATACATGGCCTCAGTCTATTGTATTTCTATTCTAGCTAATGGCAGAATAGGCCACAAGTCCACCTCATCAATAGGCAGCCCATAGAGTGAGCCTTGCTCCTACCCAATTTGTGTTGGCCTTAGTGGGCTATGGGCTCAGGATGTGATGCAGCTCGGGTGGCCACAGGTATGACATAGGAACTTGAGGCTGGTTCATCCATCTGCCTAGGGTCAGGTAGAATCTTGCAGTGTAACCACAAGGCCAGTAACTGTGGATGAGTCATCTGGGGTTATTGGTGTTCAAGAAAGACTTGAAAATGCTGAAGGGGTAGAAAGCTTACTCGAAGAAATAATAACAGGAAACTTCCTAAACCTAGAGAAGGATACAAATATCCAAGTACAAGAAAGTTAAAAGTTACCAGTCAGATTTAACTTAACCAGGGCTAGCCCAAGGTATTTTATAATCAAGCTCTAAAAGGTGAAAGATGAAGAGAAGATTCTCAAAATTGCAAGAGAGACAAACAGCACATTGGAGACTCCCAATTCACTCAACAGCAGACTTCTTAGCAGAGACCTGGTAGACCAGGACAGAGTGGCCTGATATTTTCATAGTACTGAGGGAAAAGGAAACAAAAAACTATCTACTAAGGATTCTGTACCCAGCAAATCTATCCTTTAGAAATGAAGAAGAGATAAAGACATTCCCAAATGAAAACTTGAGAAAATACAATACTACCAGATCTATTACACAAGAAATGCTAAAGGAAGTTCTTAAAACTGAAAGAAAGAGACATTAATGAGTAAGAGTATGAATGGGAAGGTAAAAAACCTACTAGTAAGAGTATATAAACAAATTCAGAATGTTCTCATATTTTCTCATATGGTAAGTATGGTGTTAAACTATTCATATCTTTAATATAAAAACTAAAATTCAAAATGTTGAAAAATAATAACTACATTAATGTGTTAAGAGATAGGCAATATAGAAAGATGTAAAATGGGCTATCAAAAAATTTAAATGGGAGGAGGAGGGGGCTGTGAATGTGTACTTTTCTTAGTAGTATATTTTCTCTTGTTCTTTTGTATTTGGTTCTGTTCTGGTCTTTAAGTTGGAAAAAATTAAAAATAACTTATTATAATCAAAAGTTATGTTTTGTAAGCCTCATGGTAACCACAAAGCAAAAATCTATAATAGACAAAACAAAATAAAAAGCAAAGAATCAGAACACACTGATAGAGTAAATCACTTAACCATAAAGGAAGACTCTAAGAGAGGGAGAAATAAAGAATTACAAAAATACTAGAATACAAGTTATAAAGTGATTGTAGTAAACTTAGCCATCAATAATTACCTCAAACATAAATGAATTAAATTCTCCAATTAAAAGACATACAGTGTCTGGAGCAAAAAAGAAAAGAAAACAACAACAACAACAACAACAACAAAAAAACCCCAAGACCCAAATATATGTTGCTCACAAGAAACTCACTTTACCTTTAAGGACACATATAGGCTGAAAGTGAAGAGATTGCTATGATATGACATGTAAGTAGAATCAAAAAGAAAGCAGGAGTAGCCATATTTATAGAAAATAAAATAGATTTTAAATCAAAAGCAGTAAAAAGAGAAAAGGAAAGTCACTATAAAATAATAAGGGGTAGCCAGGCACAGTGGCACACAACTGTAATCCCAGCAACTCAGGAGACTGAGGCAGAGAATTGCAAGTCTGAGGCCAGCATCTGCAACTTAACAAGACCCTGTGTTAAAACAAAAATAAAAAGGGCTGAGGATGTGGTTCATCAATATATGGAATGTGGAAAAACTGAAAGTTCTCTTTTTAAGATCTACAACAAGACAAAGTTGCCAATATAGTCACTTTTAGCCAATACAGTCTTGGAAGTCCTAGCCAGAGTAAGCAGGCAAGAGGAAGAAATAAAGGACATCCAAATTGGAAAAAAAGAAATCAAATTGTCGGTCTCCAGAAGACATGATCTAACCAAATAATTTTTAGATCTAATAAATGAATTCAATAAAGTTGCAAGATAGAAAGTCAATATATAAAAATCAGTAATGTTGCTTTATGCCAATAATGAATTATTTGAAATAGAAATCAAGATAGCAATCTCACTTTCAATAGCTATCAAAAAGTCTTGAAATAAGTTTAGCCAAAGAGTTGAAAGATATCTACAATGAAAATTTGAAACACTGATTAAAGAAATTAGAGACAAAAAGTGGAAAGACATCCTTTGTTCACAGCTTAGAAGAATCAGTGTTGTTAAAATGTCTATATTGCATGAAATGATTTACAGATTCAGTGCAATTCCTATCAAAATACTAATGATATTCTTCAGATACCTAGAGAAAACAGTCCTCAAATTAATATGGAAACAAACAAAACTCCAAATAGCCAAAGTCATCTTGAACAAAAGAATAAATCAGGAGACACTACACTGCCTGATTTCAAGACATACTACAAAGCAATAACAATCAAAACAGCATGGTATTGGCATAAAAACAGACACATAGACCAATAGAACAGAAGAGAGAACCTAGAAATCTACTCATGCTTCCATAGCCAACTGGTTTTTGACAAAGGTGCTAAGAACACACATTGGAGAAAGGTTAGTCTTTTCAATAAATGGTGCTGGAAAAATATCCACATGCAGAAGACTGAAACTAGACCCCTATCTCTTACCTGTTACAAAAATAAGCTTAAAAAAATGAAGACTTAAATGTAAGACATGAAAGTACTTGATGAAAAAAGGAGAAATGCTTCAGGACTTTGGAGTGGACAAGCATTTTTTGGTTGAGACCTCACAAATACAGGAAACAAAAGCAAAAATGGTAATTACTTCAAACTATAAAGCTTCTGCTAAGTGAAGGAATTAATCAACAGAGCACAGAGAGAATCTACATAAAGGGAGACATATTTGCAAACTGTGCATCTGACAAGGAATTACTATCTAGAATATAGGAGGAACTCCAAAAATTCAATTAAAAAAAAACTAATAGCTTGATTAAAGTGGGCGATAGGGCACAGTGGCACACGCCTATAACCCAGCAGCACAGGAGGCTGAGACAGGAGGATTGTGAGGTCAAAGTTAGCCTCAGCAAAAGTGAGGTGCTAAAGCAACTCAGTGAGACCCTGTCTCTAAATAAAATACACAATAGGGCTGGGGATGTGGCTCAGTGGGTTGAGTGATCCCGAGTTCAATATCTGATACAAAAAAAAAAAAAGTCTAGACTTTGGGCAGGGGTTGTGGCTCAGTGGTAGAACGCTTGCCTAGCATGTGTGAAGCACTGGGTTAGATCCTCAGCACCACATAAAAATAAAAGTATTGTGTCCATCTAAAACTGAAAAAAAAAAAAGTAATGGGTGTTCCTTACTCCCCTAGAGCTGACAGTTGGAGATAGAGAACTTAAAAAAAAAGTAGGCAATAAATCTAAGTAGACATTTCTTAACAGAAGATTTCCCAATGGCCAACAGACATAAAAAAAAAGTTTAATATCACTAGTCACCAGGAAAATGCAAATCAAACCACAATGAGATATAGCCTTGCCCCAATAAATAGATGGCTATTATAATAAAGACTAAAGAGAATCAATACTGGCAAGGAGGTAGAGAAAAGGAAACCCTTGCATACTGTTGTTGTGAATGTAAATTAGTATAGCCATTAAGGAAAACAATATGGAAGTTCCTCGAAAAATAAATATTGTAACTACCATATGATCCAGTAATCCCACTAGTGGCTATATTTCCAAAGGAAATGAAATCAGTATGTCAAAGGCACATCTGTTTTACATGCTTATTGCAGCACTATTCATATTAGTCAAGAAATGGAAACAACCTAAGTATCTATCAACTGGCAAATGGGTAAAGGAAATGTGGTGAATGGAACAGAATACAGTCAGACATAAAAAGGATGAAATCCTGTCATTTGGAACAACATGGATGGAACTGGAGATCAGTATGTCAAATGAACTAAGCCAGGCATAGAAAGACAAGTACTGCATGATCTCACTCTTATATGTGGAATATAACAAAGTTGATCTCACTGTAGTTAAGAAAAGACCGATGATTACCAGAGACCAGGGAGAATAGGTGGGGAGAGATGGGGAAAGATTGATCAATGGGTGTTGAATTACAGTTAGATGGACATGAGAGGAACTGGTGTTTTTGCACTGTGAGGTGACTGTAGTTGATAATGATGTATTATGCATTTTGAGAAACTGTAAGAAATAATTTTCAAAGTTTTACTGGGAAATGAAATTGGCCAAATTACGTTGTGTGCATATGTGAGTAAGTAACAATGAATTCCACTAATGAAACTAGAATGCACCAATGAAAATAGAAATGATTTGAGGAGGTAGAGATTTTAACCTGATGTCAATGCTGTGCAATGTGTACATGTATCAAACGATTAAAGGTTGCCCTGTTAACATGTACAATTCTTATTTTCTTTATGTGTCAGTTAAAACAAACAAACAAACAAAAAAACCCTGGGATCCCAGAAGCACAGTGAGAAGACACTGGACTGAATCATCAGAAGAATTTCTTGATCTCAAAGCAACAGCATATACTGCAAAGAAACCTAATGCCACTATTCCCATTTCTGCTCTTCTAGCCTCAATTAGTAGATTAGAAAAACATAAAACAGAAGAAAGGAGGCAGGGGAATGCAGGAGGGCATGAGAAAAGAATGAAAAGATGAAGAAGAAAGACATGGACAAAGAAAGGTGAAAGAAGGAAGAGAGAGGGAAAAGGACAAAAACAGCTGGCAGCATTTTTAGCAAATTCTTGAAAGAATGGAAAAATCCCTGTGGGGGGAAAAAATGACAGGATCCCTACCCTGTTGTACATTATTCGCAGGCTGAGCTATTTAAAGGAGAATAACAGTTAAAACCTGATTGTAAGGGGCAATATTTAAACATGACAATTTAGCCTTTTTAAAATGTAGAGTTGTTTCTAATTATTCTTGTAATGATTCTTTTAAAAATGGTTATGTTTTTATCTCTACTTTTGAGTTAAGACATTTATTCCCACAAGAACTAAAAGGAGGTAATAGACCTTAAAGACAGAAACAATTGAGCTAGATTGTAATTTGGTATTATTTAAGTCTTAATTATACCATTTTTTTGTTATTTTAGGGGAAGGGTGTTACTAATAAGAGATACAGATGTGGTACAAAATCGAGAAGGGTGTAAAGTTATAATTAAGTAGGGAGAATTGGTTCTGCTGCAGAGTAGGGTGGGTGACTACAGTTGAAAATAATGCATTGGCTTGGGATATAGCTCAGTTTGGTAGAGTGCTTACCTCAAATGCACAAAGCCCTGGGTTCAATCCCCAGCGCGTGCGCGCACACACAGACAGACAGACAGACAGACACACACACACACACACACACACACACACACACAAAGTGCATTGTATATTTCAAAATAGCCAGAAGAGGGATTTTGAATGTTCTCACTACAAAGAAATGATGATCATTTGAAATAAAGGATAAGCTAATAATCCTGATTTGATCATTATGCAATGCATAGATATATTGAAACATATTGAAACACAACATTCTATCTCATAAATATGTATAATTATTGTGTCAATTAAAAAATTAACAAAAAAGAAAATTAATGAAGTAAATAATTTGATATGCTTAATTTCTAGGGGAACTATAAATAAAACTCAAATCTAGAGTAACAAAAAGAGCAGGCAGAATGATAAAATGCAAATTTTTTTATAAAAAGGAAGAAAATGTTTGCTATGCTCAGGTTGTTTCAGCTTTTAGTAAAAGCCTAAATACATCTGTTAGATTCATTGTGCTTTTGGAATTACAGATATTATCTAGTTACACATTTTTATTCATAAAAACATAAATCAGCTTTAGCTAAATATAAATTATGAATTAACAAAAATAGAGGAATTTAAATATATTGAGAGGATGAGTAAACAACGTGCAAGAACAAGTTAAAACACTTACCAACTATTTCATGATCAGTGTGGTTTAGATATTTTTTACATATGTAAGGCAAGGTGAACTCGCAGTCCCTACTCCTCCAGGCATTTGACATAAATGTATTAAATACTCCACAGCGATATTCAACAAATGGATCGACGTTCATCTCTGAAAATACGGTATGTGTGTTTCAAGTGAGTTTAATACACACTGAAATGTAATTTTAGCATCAAAAGATACTTCTCAAAGATAGTCAAGCCTATTAGATATTATGATTTTGCAGCTAAAGTCCAGATATAACAATTAAATGATTTCCCAATGATGGCAAAAGAGCCAATTTCACTTTAAAGTGATTTTTTTTTTTTTGCAATTTGTTGTTATTTCTAAAAACAGCAGCTGGAACCTGAACTCTAACTCACATTCTCCTGCAGCCTCAGCTAAATAGCTTACCTTCCTGGCCTCTACCTTATTTGTCTGGAAAAACTTGTCTTACAGGATATTTAGTTAAGCTAAAAAATATTTATAAGCCACTTCTAGAATAATGTCTTGTATCTACATGGGACATGCTGCTGCTTAAGGCCACAGAATGATGCCACATGTCGAAGGTAAGTAAAACACTGTGGGTACCTGTGTTCCAGTTCAGATAGGTAAGTGGGGTGCCATCAGACCACTGCCAGCCAGTGTTTTCATCCAGCTGATTCAAACCTGTCCATACTTCTACTGCTTTACTACTTACGTGCTCTGAAAAGAAAATCATGGAATTAGAAAGTTTTTAATGTTACACTTCTTTTTGTTTTCCTATTCCTGGTTCATGGAGTCATCAATCAATCTCAGTAACTGGATGGGGTTTAGGTGCTACTAAAACCCACCCTGATGCTTCAGAGGGACAAAAACAAACCTCCACTGTCCTCAGAAACCCAGAAATCTCCTAAAGGTTCCCACTTGGCTGTCAGTATTTCATTCAAGCATCCAAAAATGTTGTCCTTCAAAGGTTCTCAATGTACTCAGGGGTGCATTGTTAAGATTCTGAAGCCATCTTATTTTCAAAGGGTTCATCCATTTAAGACTTTTAGAATGTAGATGAGGAAGTGTCCAGGACCACTCCCAGAAAGCCAATGGAGGCAAGTCTTTAAATTTCAGAAGGTGTGCTGAAGCACAGCAGAGCAGGGAAAGCCAATCAGAAATGTGTGGCCAAGAGAAGCAGCAAAATGCAAGGGACCAGAGCGTATCCAGAGGGATCCCCATCAGGTGTGGACTAAAGCCACATGCAGTATGTTAGGGTTTAGCTGTTAGATGTCTCAAGAGCTCATGTGTGAGACAGTGCAAAGAAAGTTTACAGGCAAAATAATTGGGTTATGAGAACCTTAACCTATCAGTGCATTAATTCCTGATAAGATTAACTAGGTGGTAGTTGTAGGCAGGTAGGGTGTGGTTGGAGGAGGTGGGTCCCTGGAGGCATGCCTTTGGGGTATATATTTTGTCTTGATTGAGCAGAGCTCTCTCTCTCTCTCTCTCTCTCTGTCTCTCTCTCTGTCTCTGTCTCTCTCTCTCCCTTTCCTGGAGCCAGGTCCTCAGCTGCTTTCCTCTGCTACACCTTTCCACCATGATGTTCTTCGCTTTGAACCCTGAGGAATGGAGTCAGCCATCTATAAACTGAGACCTCAGAAACTGTAAGCCCCCAAGTAAACTTTTCCTCCTAAAATTGTTCTTGTCAGGTCTTTTGGTCACAGCAGTGAAAAAGCTGACTAAAACATTTGAGGCTGCTCCCACTACTTAGGTCAGAGACAATTTATGGAAGGCTGGCTCTGTGGCTGCTTTGGCTAACCACTGCATCTTGCATCTCATGTTTTAATTACCCAGGTTATGAGGTCAGGGTATTCACATAGCAAGTCTACAGCATCCTCAGTGATTGCACATGGAATCTCGTCCTAATGTTGATTTAATTATTCCTTTTAAATAGCACCATATGACCATTAACAGGTCGAAACAGGTTTTGTGATGACAAGAAATGTATTGAAAGATGCATTGATGCCAGGTTGGGTGGTGTAATCCCAGTGGCTTGGAAGGCTGAGGCAGGAGGATTGAAAGTTAGGATCGAAAGTTCAAAGCCAGCTTCAGCAAAAGCCACGTGCTAAGCAACTCAATGAGATCCTGTCTCTGAATAAAATACAAAATAAGGCTGGGGATGTGTCTCAGTGGTCAAGTGCCCCCTGAGTTCTATTCCTAGTACCCCCGCCCCCCCAAAAAATGCATTGACAAAACAGGGAGAAATTTCCATAATTCATATCTAAGTAAGTGCCAAATGTTGTTTTAAAGTAATCTAATTAAAATATAAATTATTCTTATATTTTGAATGTCCATTGTGCAATTGTTTTATTAACACACATAAAGGCATTCTGCAATTTATAATCTGTTTAAAGTTCAAAAAACCTGTCTACTTATCTTTACAACTAAATTGACCCTCAATATTGTAATAACAAACTCAAATGTAAATTCCTTTGGATATTGCTTGGCATATATGACAGCTTAGATAATTCTTTATTCCCATAGTTAATGTTCATCAGTGACTAGCAAGAAACATTAGATTATTCTCATCATTAAAAATAGGTTAATTAGAACAGAATTCTGTCTTTATGAATAGACTTCTGTTTTCCTAAACAACTTTCAAAGTCTAATTATAGAATTGAGGAATATAAATCAAAGTCTCTAATATTTTATTTTCAAAAATAGTTATTGAAATTCAATGCATAATTTCAAATCTTCTCATAAGATATCTTTGCAGTTAAGATAGATAAAACTGTAATTCATAAATGGTGTGCAAACTTTTACATAAAAACCAGTCCAGGTTAATAATAATTTTGGAAATTGGTGTTTTCCTCTAATATGACTCACTCAAACCTGGGGGGAAGGGTAGGCATGCACTGTTTATCCATTTGTAACAATTCTTCTGGAAAATGTTACTGACTTTCAAAAGCTTTTAAGTAAGTGTGCCTCTTCTTCCATTCTGGGAATCCACTTCTATAAACTTATAGAGAAATAATTGTGGAACTATGAACAATGAAATGTGCAGGGATGGTTAATAATTATAACAAATAAGTAAATAAAATAATTTTATCTGTCTCTAATTAAGAGGAGATTACATAAACTGCCTAACTACACTACTAGGTAATCATTAACAATTATGATGTATACTATATATTTACAGACATGGACATGTTTCTTATAGGTAGGCAAATGAAAAAGGCAGCTTACCCAACTGTGTGCATGGTTGTTAAATGGTCAACACACACTGAGTATTCGTTACGTGTGCTGGGCACTTTTCTAAGACTTCATCTGCATTATAAGATGTAATCTCCACTAAACAGTAGGTACTATATTATTTCCTCTAGATAGTGGAGGAATTGAGGCACAGAGTGTTTAAGTGAGTTGCTTGAATAAATCTGTTAGTAAGTGGCAGAGGCAGGATTCAATCCCAGGCAGGGAGCTCTCTGGTTCCTGCACCTATATTATGTGCAATAGCTGCCTCATACTTTCATATGATGCCATTTGTTCCTATATGCTATGTATATCCCATGCATTTATATGTTTTTGCAAAAGGACATGGTTAACTCTGGTTTATAGAACTATAGGCAATTTTTCATTTGCTTTTCTTTCTGTAAAGCTGATTTAAAAATTATTTTCATTGTCCTACATGTGTAATAAAATTTGAGAAAAAAAGTGTCAAAAACTCTTAATGAAAGTGACTAATTTTTTGACACTTTTTAATGTTTCAAAAAAAAAATTTTAAAGGGATTCCCAAACACATTTAATCTATATAGAAGAAAAAGAATGATTTAGGAAATGGATATAATACAAGTCTCGCTTATTAGTACAAATCCTTTGACATTTTATATTATTGTTTTATACTGTTAGTTCACATGTGTGTGTTTTTGCTTTTCCCACTAAAATGTTCAATTCTTTGGCATCTTCCAGAAAGTCCGTATGTACTGCATGCAGTGAGTGACAGATAAACTGTTAATTAATAGAGTACTTAATAATTTATAAATGGAATTCAATGACTAATGTCTTCAGAAGAGACATTTTTGCATATGTGAACATAACTGTTAGCAATAATCATTTTATCATACCAATATCAATGTGCGTCATCCACCTACTTACTCCTTATAAAATTTTCTTCACTTTCATCTGCAATACTTAATAAAGCACTTCCTTGCATCTGGCATGAAGAATATGCCTCAGTCCAAGAGAGAAATGAAAGCAGGTTGAATTGGTAGCAAATGTGTGAATTGAGGTCCTTCTCCAAGACAGCATCACAACCTATCTCTGTAGAGGCTGGAAAAAAATCCATTGAAAACATTCACTATAGTGTTATTTTATCCATACAGACATATATTTCTCAGACACTTTTGAATGGAATGAGTCCAACTTGCAACCTCTAAAACTTATCTATTCTTGATTAGGTCTGTTAGATGAAAATCTGCATTGTTATTTCATTGATGTCTTACAGTTAAACTTTTTCAAGATTTACCTAAGGATATTCAAGAAATTATCAATAAAGAAGCTCTGATACATTCAAGGAAAATAATAGAAGCTGGTTTTAAGAGAAGGAAATAGAAGTGAAACATTGATAAAAAATAAAATCTGTATTCATTGGTGAGTAATCATTTACAGCTTTACATCAAAAGCTGTGTGAATTAAAATGTATATTGAAGACAGACACAAATGTTGCTTCAAAAGATTTTTCTCCCTAAATACCCAAGTGCTAAGTGAAATACATAGAATAGAATAGTTACATGGGTCAATAGTGAACACAAATTTTCAAATAAACATCAAGCACAGGAACCTTGATATTTGAATAGTTCCTCCAGCCAAGAGGAATAGAAGCAAATTCCACTTGTAAGATATTGGCCAAAGATTGCATAGTATGCCTGAAAGTAAATTTCATGAAGTATGAAATGTGGATCTGAAATCTGAAGTTTCTTAAAATAACAGAAAATGAAGACCTAGTTTGGATGCTTTTGCTAAAATGCTAAATTAAGCCCTAAGATAGAGTAAGCAGACAAAGAATTTCAGACTGTAGAAAATGTGATCCATCCTATAGCATGAATGTAGCTGATGGACAGGCCACCTACTACAATCTAGAACATCCTTTCCCAATTGTGGTCCTCAGAATAAGATGAATTCAAGAGTCTCCACAAAGTAGATCCAGGCCATAATGCACATTGGTGTCCTCTGGGAAATTCCTGGTGTGTATTAGCCTAATAAAGAATGAAATGTTCTGCAGTTCAGGTAATTTTAATTCAGTATTCCTTAAACTTATTTGATGGTGAAAGCCTTTTTAGTTTCTTTTCCCCATGCTTAGTTAGGTGGTTCTCTTGGGAAATGTGGAAAGGTTTTTTTTTTTTTTTTTTTTTTTTTTTTTTTCATGTTTGGTTACAACACACATTCCCCAGTACTGAGTGAGTTAATCAGAAGTTATTAAATCACATATAAATCTCAGGTTGTATTTAGAATTTCCTGACTGATACATATATTTATTGAAGGGTCCAAAACTGAAGTGGGCAGAAGACAAGACTATCACAGAACAACAGATGAAGAAAGAAAAGGGAAAGAGAGAGGGAAATTAGTAACCATTTTGCCCTGGTGGCTGAAATTTCCCCATGAGATGAAAGATGGTCTTAGAGATGGTCTTCAGCTAAAATGCTAGGCCTTCCGTTTTTTAGAGCTTAGTTCTGTCATGTTCATCCAGTGCAGCAGCTGAGACCAGAAGGGGGAGCAGGGAGGGAACTGTTTAGGAATTAAGGGTGCAAATGATTCATGTAGCCAGATTATTTTTTAAAATGTAGATTGTCAGTCTCAGAGGTTCTGAAACAGTTGGTCTAGGGCAGGATTCAGGAACATGTCTTTAAAACATGTTTTTAAAACATGGTTTCCAAGGCAGATGCTCCAGGAAGCAAATACTAGAAAACACTGTCCTAAAGGAAAAAATTCAAAACCGTCCAAGTAGGCCTTGGCTATTAGAAGAGAGTAGAATGTTAGAAAAGCAAATCTGAGGGCTGGGGTTGTGGCTCAGTGGTAGAGCACTTGCCTAATATGTGTGAGGCACTGGGTTCGATCTTCAGCAGATCTGAGAGGAGGCTCAGTCCTGGTGAGTGGGGTATCTGCTTCTCATCTGCTACCACGGAGACTTGGCAATAAATCCTAATAAGCCTCCAGACCACAGCTAAATACATGCCAAGAAAAGTTCTGCACGGCATTTCAATTGATCTCATTCCCATTTATTTATTTTTTTCCCCAAGAGTTAGTCTGGCTCTGTCAATATGACTTTGTGTAGAACCTGCCTGAATTCTACATACTCAACAGTCAAGGTTAAAGGTTTGCAGGTGATTGTGTCTATGCTACACACTACATGGCCCAGTTGGTGTTAGGTTTTCCTTGGTTTTGAATTCTCAAAGTTATTTGACAGAGAAACTTCAGTCAAGTATTTGCAATAGGCGTTCATATACTCCTGACGAGTCAACTCATTTGTCATTGAAACTTGGTTTACCTGAAATGTAAGGATTTGTTCTTTTGTGCAAGTAGACACAAATGCTCTCTGTTTCCCTAGATGGACGGAGTGTCACTCCACAGATCTCACTGGAAGGTTGTTAAATAACAAGTTGTATAATAACTACATTATATCTACTTCTATGCGCTTCTGCTCTCTTCCCTTCCTTTCCTCATAATCTCATCCTGCGAGGATTCCCCAGGAGACTCCCTGTATGCTAACCTGTGCCTCAGAGACTTCTCTCCAGGACCCACCTGCCACAGGCTCCTAGCTCTCTCTTTCTAAGCCACTGAAAACGCAAGACTGAAAGTTCACGTCTCAATATGTTTAATTATTCTGGAAAAAAATTTAATCTAAGGGATAGAATCATCATCATATTTCTTTGCATATTTGGTTGTCTTTCTATTATCTTTTCTCTCACTGAATTTTGAACTCCTTGCGGGAAGTTGATTGTTTGCTAGAGATGATAGAAATCATTTGCATGATGTTGTAGGTTGGAGATCTTTCCCCTCCAAGCCACCTCTGTTGCAATGGGCTGAGGTGTTTTCATACCAACCCTGATTTTACTGTGAACTATGGCAGATATCAGCCTTTCCTTGCTCTTAAGTGTGGCTTGTTTTTCTTCCCTAAGGATATAGCTTCACCCTTGTCCCAGGTGTACTGTTTCTTGTCACTTTTTTAAATTGTTGAATTTTTTTAGAAAAATGAAGACTAGTACTATCAAAGCTGATATTGTAAATTTACTATTTTTTGTCTCATTTTGGTCTTCCTGGACTCAGCAAATAGTTGTTGGGTGTCTGTTCCCTGTAAAGTGCCCTGCTGGTAAATCTCGTTTAACAGGGTCTACAGGCCTAGTCAGGATCCTTGCAATGCACTTTTTGAATGCCTTATACACTCCTTGGAAGGTAGCTCTGATCATAATTGAAATTGGATGATACATTATGTGATTGCTTGTTGATCATCTGTTCCTCTTGATAGAAGCATTAGGAAAGCAGGAAGCGTGTTCTACTTAGCCCATTCTAACCCCTAAGCTTCCTATCAGTATTTAAAGATTGTTGGGTGGAGGAGGACATGTTATCAAAGGAAGCTGAGAAGTAGTAGTCACCAAGGAAGGAAAATTAGACTGCCTGTGTTACAAAGACCCCAGGCAAAATTGTCCCTTCCAATTTTCTTATGTGTTGCTCTGTCTTTGAATATGAAGATTTAGCTCATTAGTGACTTTATGGTGCCCTGTTTCAATGAAGGAGCCCAATCATCTGTCTCCTCTGTGCCTGTATCCAACAGAGGAGCATTGCCAAGTAAAGTCCTTCTACCCATCTCATTTATCAACCACCCCTAATACTCCCTAGCTTTCCAAGAAGCTTTCTCTCCAGCACCATGCTACCTATTTCACACCTTCCCCATTGTCCAAACTGCTCATTCTTTCTTTCTCCTCTACAAAGAGAAAGTCACGGCCACTAGACTGGTTTCTCTACTTTTCTTCCATCACCTAATGTAACTAATGGGCCTGCACTATACCCTACCTCATCTCTCCTAGAGAAATTGTCTTTATCTATAAAAGGCCAATCTGTGCATCTTTGATCTGGACCCTACTTCCTTCTGTCTTCTGAGAGATCACATGGCCTCCGCCAGCTGCCTCACTTTCCTGTATTTTCAATGTCTTTGGAGATCATTTTCAGATGCATTCATAGATGGTTCAGCATCTCTCATCCTTAAAAAGCAAGAAATCACAACGAAGACAGCCACCACCAGTACCACCACCTACAACAAAACTCCTTACTTGGCCTCCCTATCCCAGGTACTGCCTTCTCTCTGTCTACACCAGTCACATACTATAATACACATATGATCTACATTTCTTCATTTCCTATTTATCTAAAAACAATTTTATTAAAATATAATTCATATACCATATAATTCACCCATTAAAACTTTACAATCCATTGCTTTTTTTTTGTATATTCAAAACATTGTGCAACCATAAATGTCATCGATTTTATTTATTTTTACTGTGCTGGGGATTGAATCCAGGGCTGCATGCACGTTGGACAAGCACTCTACCACTGAGCTACATCCCCAGCTCAACACCATCAATTTTAGACCAAGTTCATCACACCAAAAAGAAACCCAGTACCCAGTGGTAGTCACTCCCCACTTTCCCTTCAATCCTCCTCTCTACCTCCAGCCCACAAGAGCCACAAATCTAGTTTCTATCTCTAAGGTTTGACTATTTTGGACATTTAATATAAATGGAATTACACAATATGTGCTCTTTGTGACTGACTTCAGTCACTTAGCATAATGTTTCAAGAGTCATCTTCATTGTAACATGTACCAGTATTTCTTTTCTTTTACTGCCCAGTAATATTCCACCATAGGCTATATCACACTATATTTATGTGTTCATCAGTTGGCAGACATTTGTAATGTTTCTACTTTTGGGCTGTTATGAATTTGCTGCTATGAGTATCTATGTACAAGCTTCGTGTGGGCATGTTTTCCTTTCTTCTGATTATATGCCTAGTAGCAAAATGCAGAACGATAGGGAACTTTATATTTAATCTTTTGAGGAACTGACAGGTTGTGTTACAAAGAGCTATATCTTTTACAATCCTAGCAATAGTGGATGAAGTTCTAATTTTTCTACATCCTCACTAGCATTTATTATTATCTTTCTTTTTGATAGTGGATGTGAAATGGTGTCTCACTGTGGGTTTTGTTGAATTTTCCTGATGGCTAGTGATGTTGAGTTTCTTTTTATGTGTTTATTAGCCATTTGTAAATCTCTGGAAAAGTGTCTATCCACTTTTTTAAAATAGAATTATTTGTCTTTCTATCGTTAACTTGTAATAATATATTATGGATATAAGTTCCTTGTAAGATACATAATATTTGCAAATATTTTTCATAGGAAATATTTTTTATTTCCCCAGTGGAAAATGTTTGCAAACATTTTCTCCCTTCTGTAGGCTTTTGTCTCATTTTCCTTCTTTAATTTTCCAGTGTTGGGACTGGAACCCAGGGCCTTGTGCATGCTAGACAAGTGCTCTACCACTGAGCCACATCCACAGCCCTTCTTTCAAGTTTCTTGATAATGTCCTTTGAAGTGCAAAAGTTTTTTCACTCTGATGAAGAGAGACATAATAGCTTCTCTGATTCTTGTTGGAGGCTCAGGTGAAGTTGGCAATTATACACTGACACTGGTATCAATGTGCTCTGTCATATCAAAATCATATCAACTGAATAAGGTTCAAGGGCCATCAGATCATTCCAGAGACTGGTATTCTAAAAATATCTCAAACCAACTGTGACTCTCCAGCTTTGTAGGGCATAGAACCCTGAGAGACCAAGAATGGCCCAAATGACCTCTGAACGAACCCAGAGAGATTCCTATGCATCATGCTTATTCCTGAAGATCTTTAATCACACCCTTCACTGTGGTGTGTGTGTGTGTTCATCAGTATTAAGTTTTGAATTTAAATCACTTACAATCAACTTAAAAAAAAACAACCTCAGCATTGTGAGAAAAGATTTCCATGAGAGAAATGTGAGATGAAATGCAGAAGTATGAACCTTTCCTCTCTGTCCCATCCACTTGTTGACCCCATGGAAAGAGCTATCAGCTTGCTCAGATTTCAGTCTCTGACACATCATTTTGAGTTATGTTGGCCACCTGGAACCGAAAGTAACAAGAAAGGAAGAAACTGGAACAGCAGTTCAGCACTGTCCACACAAACATGCTCCCTGCTGGTTGTGGTAAAGGTCAGGAGAGGGGAATCTGGCAGTCTGTCAAGTGGAGGAAGCTTCTGAGCTGTAGGAAGCCGAGCAAAGAGATAGTCTAGGGGGTGAAAAGTCCTGAGCCCCATGAAACCCAGGCTTCCACTGAGAAGATGTAATGGCTATAAGTAACAGAGCTTTTCTGAGAATCTTAAAAGAATACTATCATTCTTTTTCTTTTTTTTTTAGTCACTACTAATAGATCCATGTGAAATATGTGTTAATTCTATTAGTATTTGTTCGGTTTGGTTTTAATGACATCTACTGGAGATAGAAATAGAGAAGATAATGCAAGTAACGTGACATTTGGTTAAGGAATTGAGGGTGTGTAGGGATTACTTGCATGTACACCTGGATGTGAGATGGATGTGGATGGAGAAAGTTGGTGATCTGACACTTATTAAATGACAAAATATTGTCATGCTTGTAGAATAGCTAATGTCCCAAGCACTCTGCTACCTCAAACTTCCCTGCACCTCTTCATTCACATTCCAGCAGCTTGGGGGTTAATACCAGCAGGGGGCTTCTAGAACTCCAAACCCCACACTAGGATCTCTACTTGGATTGTTTAATAGCCTATATCATATTGGTTGTTAACTGTCCTAATGTCACCCTATTCATAGATGTGTGTTGCATGGAGTTACCTGCCTCCTATGAATTCTTTGATGATGAATTATCTGCATCAGGATCACCTAAGGACTTTTCTGCAGATACTTGAGTCCTGAATCCTGGACTCTCTGCATCTCTAGGAGAAGAGCAAGCACTTGCATTTTTAACTATGTCTCAGGTGATTCTAGAACATCTTATCAAATATAGTCTGCATTTTCTGGCATAGAGCCAACCATAGAGCCATGCCTTCCATGTAGATGCCAAGTTCTTTCAAGGGAGAATCTAAAGTTCTAAAACTCTTGGTATTCACCACTATGCTTAGCCTAGTGCTTGTTGATGGGCAATAAAGAGGAAGGACCGTTGATTGAGAAGTGTATGCAGAAAAGATAAATTAAGTTTGATGATGATGATGGTGGGAGTGGCAACCAATCCCTATGAGTACATACTGTGTGCCAGGTGCTGTAAATCCCTCAGATGGATTAACTTTGAATCCACACAATAACACTAATAGGTAGTGCAATTATCTCCATTTTATGACCAAGGAATCTAAAACCCAGAGAGACAAAGGGAACTTCCTAAAATCTCATTGCTGGGAGGAAACAGGACTCTAGTGTTGGCTTATCAGACTTCAAAGCCTATCCTCCTTTGTATTTACTAAGCCATATTGGCTCTTAGATTATAAAACAATTCTATACATAATTTGTAAATCAGATTCTTTGGACTTAATCTCTTCAAATAGCTTTCTTTTTAAATTTTTTCATTTCATTACATAAGTGGAGGGGAAGTAGGCATGAAAGATGAAGAGGTTCTAAAAACTATACTCTGACTTGCAGGAGCAAAGATGGAAGAAATGGAATAGAGAAAGCAGAAAGTGTATATAAATATTGTCCAATATGTAGGAACAATTAGAAACCTTTATGTTAAATAAAAATAAGATAAAAATTATAAAGCATTAACTTAAGAAAAAGAACTTTGCATCTGTCACTGGAACTTGAAAGTCAAGTTAAGAAGATAAAAGGATTTTGAGGCTATAGCTAGAGAATAAATAGTAAGGAAAGGGAGACAAGATGAGAACCCATTGTGGAGAAATAATGAGGGAACTGTGATTTTATGTAAAGATCATCAAGGGGCCAGTTGACGCCTGGACTTGACAATGGCCAAGACAAGCAGTATGGATGTGGGGAAATCAGGGCAGCTCAGAAGAGGCAGTGGATTGAAAGGATAACTGGGCTTTATGTGCATTCAGGTTTGTTTTGAAGTACCCTGCCGGGAAGCTGGGATTAATGAGATCACAGAGTATTATAATTTGATTCTGGTTAAAGCATCCTTATGTACTGAGCTTAATGAAGAATGGCTAATTAACATCTTTTTGAATGTAAGGGGGGGGGAGGGAATATACATCTGAATTGTTTTTTCCAAGGCAAAAACAAGCCCCAAATCAAGATCGGGATTAATGGAATCAGGGTGCTTATTCAGACTTCAATACATCAATGCTGGTGCTTTTCTTTAGATAACGCATGCTTTCTAATCATCCTTGATTCATTCATGACATACAGAGAAGACTAGATTTATTCTTACTGGGATCTGGGCAAAATCCCCACTTCTCATCTCTTTCGTATCGGCTTGTGGTGGCACACCACAGCAAATCATCTTCCCGGCCTTCCCGGGTGCATTCGTGAAACCACTGATGGTTATACTGGAAGGGAAACATGCATGGCATCCCGTGGGCATTCCCTTTGATTGTATACATGTCTAGGAGAAAAAATAAATGACAAAGTCAGATAAATACAGTATCAGCATTATCTCCGCACACTGTCATCTTGTTATGCATTTTTATCGACTAAAATCCTCCTAGCTGCAGGCACTAACTAACCCTCCTGAGCCCCCAGGTCATCATTGTCTAGTGGCTGTAGAAGAGCCAGTTCCAGGCCTGGGTTCAGAGGAAGAATTGTTAAATGGTTTGCTTGTACATTCATCCACTTGTTTATTTACTACAGTGGGCTGCTGCGGTAGCACAGAACTTGTGAATGGATGAATAGGAAAATTTAATGAAGATTTTACTTCAAAGTATCTGCCAGTTCCCCAATACACCAGTGTTGGTATTTAAACCTCAATGGTTTCATAGGAATTTATTAATTTATTCATTCAATAAATATTTGGTGAGCACTTAATGTACCTTGCATTGGGGATATCTTAGTGAACAAAACAGAGAAAAATTCCTTTTCATGAGGAGTTTCTGCTTTAGTGGGGAGAGACAAAGGGAAAGCAAAGAAACAAACATATGATAATTTCAGGTCGTGGTAAGTGCCATGAAGATAAATAAAATGGGGTAAGAGGACTGCAAGCATGCTCAAATGTGCGTGCATGAGTGTGTGTGTGTGTGTGTGCACCAATGTAAAGTCTACCTGAATAAGAACTGGGTAAAATGGGGGTGTTAATTGTGGAAATATTTGTGCCAGAAAAAGGAACAACAAATGTAAAGGTGTGAAGAAAGGAGTGTGTAGGGTGAATGAAGAAGAGCAAGGCGGCAGGGGAAGGGGTTGCAGTGAAGTCCTGGAGTGTCTGCTCCCGTAGAACTATCTGCCGTGTTGCTAAGGACTTTGCCTTTTACTCTGAGGGTGGTGGAGAGTATGGTGAAAGGTCACAGGCAAGTCTTGAAAGGGAAAGTGACAAGATTAGATTTCCATTTTAAATTTATTTTTATTTATTTGTTTATTTATTTTTTTTTTTACTAGGGATTGAATTCAGAGGCACTCAACCACTGAGCCACATCCCCAGCCCCCTCTTTTTTGGTATTTTATTTAGAGACAGGGTCTCACTGAATTTCTTAGGCCCTCGATAATTTTCTGGGGCTGGCTCTGAACTCATTATCCTCCTGCCTCAGCCTTCTGAGCTGCTGGGACAGATTTCCATTTTTAAAGAATCTCTGGGTGCAGTGTGGCAACCAGCTTAAATGGAAAGACAGTGATGGAGGCCCATTGGCTAGAAAGATGACCACACAGATGTGGTCTGCTGGCTGGGTTCTCAATACACTGCAACCATCCACCATCCTTTGAGTTAAGAAGGAATCAACAAAAACTTCATGACTCAGCTGGGGCCTCCTATGGTAGGGGGCGTTAAGGCCACCCTTAATTTAGTCAACAGGTCCTGGGTAAAAGGGTCAGCTATGGAGATTCCCGTCCCTTTCCCAGAGTTGGCAGGGGCTAGACTGAGCTCACAGCACACCACCAGCCTTAGCAGTTATGTCTGCTAGGAGCCAGAGGCATTTTCGGACACAATGCTTTGGTTTCAGTCCCCTGCTTTCTACTCAGAAGCATATATTGCTGGGTCTTCCCCTGTGTGCACGTGAGTTTGGGTATATGGCTAAAAAATTGAAGCAAAATATTGAGTTCTTCTTTAGAACTATGGCATTTTGAGTGCTGGTTTGTAGCACTTGCTTTATTGTATGTAGGAAGCCCTGAAAATGTCTTGCTCTTAGCTCTCTCTTTACTCATTCTTTGAAGCCCAGGAGATGATCTCACCTTGGGCCTTAGGAGTTCTATTCTCTGCTTCCATGAATGTTCTAGAGTCCTTCGGAGGACGTGGTTTTATTGAGGCATAATTCTGCAGGGCACCATAAGGGGAGGCACCAAATCTGCCTTATTGGCTTTTGTAAACCAGGCGCCTAACACTGCTGAAGAATAGTTAGCACTTAACAAGTGTGTACAGGATAGATGGATGGATGGACAGGTGGATGGAGAAAGCTACAAAAGAAACAAACCCTGAGGGAAATCATTTAACTATGTGACTTTTTTTGTTTTCTGTTTTAAAATGCCAAAAAATAATAGAACTATAGAAAATATAAGTCCCCTGATAAATTGTGCCTCCTCACAGACCATGCTTGGTACACACAAAATAGAATGTCATTTATCATCCAGTATCTTTAGCATGACCGTTTCCTAAATACTGCATACCATCCCATGTGCACTTTGATTTAAAGCATTTTTACCTTTGTGAAGATGTTCACAAATGTCCCCACCATCGGACATGTAGGAAATCCACTTATGGAGATGTTTCCTTGAGGCCACAACCATGTCGTCCTGCTTCACCTGCACCATGTACTGGAGCGGGCCGGTGATCATCTGCCTGTTACAGCGCCACCTCAAGGAAACGTAGGTGGCATCACATTCATATATGCTTAGTGGCTGCTCTGGATTAGATAAATTCAGGCCCAGGCAACCACTGCCTCCAACATTAAAGAGGTGGTGGTTTGAAACCCATTTCCACAGCATGTACTTGTTTGGCTGTTTGCAGTTCTCCAGGGTCAGTGCAGATTTACCTGCTTGAATGCATTTCTTAAGACTCTCACTTTGGATAATGAATATTCCTTTATCTGTAACAAAAAATAAAAGATGTGGTATGTGACTTTCTTATGTAATTAACTAGTGCCACAAGGATCCCGTGTGCATATCTAAGCTGTGCTAGGTTGTAGCTGCTAGCCATTCCAGATAGATCTGGAGCTGATGGGTAAGGTCTACTTGAAGGGCTTTCTTTGCATAAAACAGGAGGTTTTGGGGAGGGAAATATAAAGGACTTATTGGAGATAATGGAGACCTCTGATCTAAGATTCCCTTGGACCTAGAAGAACATAACTACCTGTCAATCATTTGGTGACACTGATGAGAGAAAGCACTCACCACAACTGGACAGAAAGTGATAATAATCAGAACAAGGGGGAGGGGCATTGGGTGTCCAGATATGTGGTGATACTTTAGGTTTTCTTCAAAGGCGTGCCTGGATATTAAGAACATGACAGCTGAGTTACTGAAATGAAAATCTCTACCACCAAGAGGATATAGGAAAGTGCTAGATAATTCCCCATGCTGGTGAAAAAACAATGCTTCTTAACATTTGCTTTCTGTGCTGGATCCATCAGGAGTAGAAAAGTGGCAACATTTTGCTTTGTTAGGAGTAGCCTGGTTGCATGGGACTATCAGCAGCAGGTAAACAGGACACTAGCTAATGCTCCATACCTAGATAAAACACAGGTGGCTAGAACATCACGACAGTGGTAGAAACCAGAGGCCACATTGCCATGTGGAGGAAGTAGACATTTTGTGACATAGTCCTGAACTCTTCCCTCTGGAGCCAGAAGAAGGGATCTGAGTGAATTTCCTGTGCAAAAGCTAGTGGGACCCGGCCAGGGAATATGCTAGCTCCTACCTATTACCTGACTTAAGCTGCTGACTGGAAGTCGCCAATTGCACAATCATCATGGCTGTGTTTTTTCTCACAGATTTTTTTTTTTTGTTTTCATTTTTTGAAGATGACAATCATGTCCAAGCTCAGAGTATCCTGAACACAATGTCAAAGTTCAGTAAGTGCTCAATATTGACTGAACTTGCCGGTAGCTGTTGTTGAGGCCCATGAATGCTGAAGCTCCCCTCTCTCTGAAAGTCTGATCAGGGCTCTTTTGCTCTCCCCTCAGTTAAGCTCCTGTCTTAGACTTTACTTCCTGTCTGTCCTTCAGAGCTCCCAAGGCACATAGTCAGGTTCCTTTACAATGGCCAGGGTTTAGGGAGGGTTTTGTCATACAGCAGAGGCAAGATACCGCTTTCAAGAGATTTGAAACAGTGCAGAATGAACCTCCTCATGTCTGGGTTTAAGGGGAAAATGCTTCACTTTTGGTAAAGTTCTTTGGTTTCTCCAAAATTAATCTGGCCAAGGAGAACTGATGTATGGTAACAAAAATCACTTAAGACACCATTAAAAAAATTGTCAATGTATTAATGAAAGCCATACCTCATTTAATAATTGATAACCTTTCTTATAGCCATGTGTTTGAGAAGTTAAATTAGTTGTCAGAAAATTGCTTTGATCACCATATATCAGAGCAAAAGAGAAGGGAGTGGCAGTGGCCGTGGTGGGTTAGTGAGAGAATAAATGGTTTTAAGGAGATTTCATTTAGATCAGGAAATTTGTTTTCCTAATGAAGGCCACGTCTGCATGGTTATTAGTAATAGTCATTCAAAATCAAATCCACCTTTCATCAACGTGATATGGACTCTGATAATTAACCTTCCTTCCAACCCTCCTTTTCACCTTTTCATGCCTGGGTAGAATGTTAACTTTAATTTCTGTTGTAATCTACTAATTACTTTCTAGCTAGCTCAGAGTTCCATTAATTTTTCATTAAAGGATAATTATTTTACTATGATGGCACCATAGCCATGTATATTTTATACATTCAAATATCTCCAGATCTGGGCCTCACCCCTTAATATACCTAACATAGGCAGGTAGAATAGCTGGTCAGTGGCTAAGAGCTCTGGAGACTAGAACTGGGCAGATTCCTTGATCTCTGAAAGCAACGCCTTTCCAAAGCAGAAGATATGAGACAAACCCAATCCATGCTTCTTAATATTGGGGTACCATTACAATTCCATGCCAGCTGCCTGTAGGATGTAGCTTTGGAAAAGTTCTTCAGAATGTTTCATCAACAAGCACCTGGGGATTGCCTATAAAAATAAACATGCTACCTTCAAATATGTTAAGCTAATAAATGACCTGAGCCTATTTCCCAAAGTTATAATAAAATCTGATCCTAAACACTTCATAAATCCATTAAAGATAAGGGTGTTTCAAATAGACTGTGAGGAGACCCACTATAGGAATCAATATTCTGATTATTACTATATGCACATGAGTTGTCTCTAACAAAACTATAATGTGGAAATGGGCCACTAATCCTTAGTGTGTATAGTTGCTGGGTTTCAAAAAGGATGAAAATCAAATGTGGGAGGAATCAAGATTGATTATATATGTCAAGGACATCAGTTCTGCTTGAACACTGATTAAGTGATTAATGAAGTACTGCCAGAATTACTAAATCTCTTTGCAGGAAAATGTTATTATGCTTCCCTTCATAATTATAAGTTTAGGAGAAGAAGAAGAAGAATTGATTTACTAGAAGTAACTTATAAGCTAATTTCCATCCTTTTAAAAAAAAATCATGGGAGTTAGTGCTCCTACTTTCTGCTTCTGAGCTCCTTCTAGTGGGAGCCATAGATAACATACCGTAAGATAACATATACTCTTCTGAGGAGTGGGCTAAGAATGTTTCTTTGGGCAACTGTTAAACTTAAGTTTAGGAAATTTCTTTTATGACATTATTTCAATAAAATATTTCCTTCATTAATTAATTCATTCCATAAGCATTCACTATATGTGGTGTTAGGGATAGAGAAATTATTTGCCTAAATATCTGTCCTTTGAAACTGTATCTATTTGTTCTGAAACCATGGAAATTTTCCTAGTTAATAAAAAGAAGGAAGTTCCATTTGTTCTAAAGGAAATACTATAATTACAACTCAAGATAAGCCCTTTAAAAACAAGTGATAAAAGTCATGATCAAGAAAACAGACCCAAATTAAAGACATCCTACTGGACCCTCTGCTGATGTCATGTAAGGGGTGGACAGGGCTCCTCTCTGCGTGGGAAGTGTCCGCACATTTTCCAGGGAGGACAAGAAAGAACACTGCTAAGGAATATGGGTGTGGAGACTCACTTTACCCATAAACCCAGAACAATGAGCTTCACAGCTGGATGGGACTATAAAGTTTATTTAATTGAATCGTTCTTTTACTCTCACCAAATCCATTTTGTCCTAGAAGCTTTAGACCCATATACCCAGTGAGGACCATGTTCAGTCCAGACATAGCTGTATTGACATGCACTCATTTGTAAGCTAGAAAGAAGAAAATGAACTGGTATAGATTGTTGTTGAATATTTTGAAGTAGGAGACTTGAAATTTCAAACCACCAGCATGTATTGGGTACCTAATACTGCATGTGCCCCTCACTTTGACTGAGGCTGGCTTTGAACTGGCGATCTCCTGTCTCAGTCTCCCAAGCGTCTGGGATTACAGGCGTGCACCACTGTGCCCAGCAAGAACTTGAATTTTATTCAAAAATTTGTATATTCTTCTTCAGGTGAAAGGGAGTTTTGGGATAAGACATGACTGAGGCTGTGGAGTAAAAGATGAATCAGGGTGGTGAGTCATTCAACAAAAACATTACTGAGCACCTACTATGTGCCCAGCATTGTTTTAGGTGCCAAGACAATCAAAGAAGAATGACTAAGCTCTTGCCCCAGAGGAGTTCTAAATTAGGTGGGAGGAGGTGGTACCCTAGCACACTTGGGGAAGAGTCTGGAGACTATTGCTGTGATCCACCTGGAGAGACTAAAGGTGTCAGTGCATCAGTGATGCAAAGAACAGGAGAGAGCAGTTAGACCTAGCCAATAGGGAGACACCACATACAGGGAAGAGGTGAGTGGATTAGGTGATGGGTGGAGTGTGATTGCTATGGTTGGGACATGGTGTGAGTGTGTCCAAGGATTCATGTGTTGGGAGCTTGGTTCTCAGTGTGGCAATGTGATAGGATTTTTAAGAAATGAGGCCTAGTGGGAAGTAATGAAGTCACGGAGGGGCTGCCCTTGGAAAGAACTGATGCAGTTCTCATGGGACTGGATTTCACATGCAGTTCCCATGTGAAAGGATTGCTTAGAAAAGGTGCAAAACTGCCTCTTCCCCTCTGTCTGGCTTCGTTTCTTGCCATGGGGGATCTCCTTCTCACATGTATTTTGGCCAAGATGCCATCTGTCATAAGATACTCACCAGATAAATCTGTTTTCTTTATAAAGTCCAAGCCTTAGTTATTTCATTATAGTAACAGAAAACTGACTAATACATGATGATTCTGGAAAGGTAATTGTAATGAATCTTTTTTTTGTTTTTTTTTTTGCCTTCAAGTATTCAAAGGACTGTTAGAGGCCTGCCAATCTCTGTAATGCCAAGATGTCAGAGTCCAAAGCCTGGGGCCGAGAGTGCAGTTTGATATGTACAGTGCCAACTGGAGGTTCTTTTAGGAAGTGAACTTAGTACCCCTTCCAGTACCTCTCCCTGCCTTCAATACTGTCTTCAACCTAAGATAACTATTCTCTTAGCATTGGCTGATTGAAGGTTTGGAGTGTTAAGTGACTAAGATGAGGTTTGAACTGTTAGGCCTCCATGAAGTGTCTGCACTTTTAACAACAACAACAACAAAAAAAAAAGTAAATAAAAATTGAAACAATAAAATAAAATTCCTAAAGAAATACTATTTTTTTATGGTGGCATTTTAAGCAAGCAAAGGGCTTCCTGCTATTCAATAAATTTCACGGCAATGGAGTTCACTGAATCCAACTACGTACGTACAGTTGGCCTCTGTGCTGCTCTATGTTAAGAGAACTGAAAGGAAAAGTTCAAGTGTATGGTTCACGTCAAGTGCAATGTTTAAGACAAGCTATTAGGAAGCCACAATTTACAAGCTGCAATCCAATTTCAAAAGCCT